ATCTGATGATGCAATGCTGGGATTTGTAGTTGGTGTCTGTCGTAGGTCAGACTAGTTGAGTTGTGATTTTGTAGATTTGAAAAAATTACATCAATAATCTTTTCAAATGTAGGTGTTGTGTTCAGAAGACGACAAGGTTTAGTAATAGTTTGGTTTTTGCTATTACTGAGATTAAAATATTATTTTATTAATTCGTTTGGTAAAACCTCGTGTTGTACTTCAAATTGTGGATAAACGCATCACAGTATTCGTTACATACTGTTCACATGTAAACAAAATTCGATTGTAAAGCCGTAATATACCATCATACTATGTATATGCTATAGTCTAGCATCCAGTAATTAAAACGTATTCACACGTTTTACCCAATTGTTTGTTTTGCTATAAATATTCAAAGCGCAGCGCACTGTATCGCCGCGCCGCGCCGTTTATTCAAAAGCCATCCCCGGTCGACGAATGCAGGCGATATTTCAGGAGGCACACCGTTCTTTACAAAACATTTCTATGCACGATTTCCCTTTCAATCTCGTTTCTGTAACAGGCTTACCGTAACTGAATTCAATTCGAATAATGTCCAAAAGAATTTGCAGCTTTAGGTAAACGATATATAGTATACGATTGCATCATGCCGTTTATTCCACTAGGAGTTGAAGAGACATACTTTGCCAATAACTAAATTATAGTTATACTGCTATGTAAAAACTTAATTAACTTATTTAAATAAATAATCTCAGCATCTTTGATATCTCCTTGTAGTTTTTTCCGGGGTGTCGATAAGTTTTATCATCGCAATCGCTTAAATGTTTTTTGTAAGTTAATTAAATCGAAATCTGGTTTCTCATTCTGACCACGTCAAACTTCTAATCAGTTCAACAGGAAGAAAATCATGTCAGGTTATCCTTGAGATATCCTATCAGAGACCACTTTCAATTTGGTCAAACAATTTCTATAGGTACGTATCCGGCTTATGTTTATTGGTCGGCTTGTCAGGTTTGGGGATAAGGAAAACGAAGATCGTTCAACCTGCCGAGACACTTGCGATGTCAGATCTCCGTCAGAATCCTCTAAGCCTTTTCAAAAGGTATTTGTGGATGTTTTGAATTGGGCCATTGTTGTAACTTTACCTTAGATACGACCGAAATTATTTTTAGGTAGGAATCTGGTCGTGAATGTGAATAATTACCGCTAATGGAACGCTTCGCTGAGATTTAATGGCGGCAAAAAGTCATGACACCTGATGTTTTTTATGACTCGATTTTCTCATTGGGAAAATATTCGCTGAATAACGACGTTACCGTTTTACTTCTGTTTATAAGGATGTCTTTATTCCAACAAGTTCCTATTACTAAATATACTTCTAGTCCTACAGATTCGGTTCCATTAGTTGTAAATATTTTGTTTGGAGCCAAATAACCGCTAACAGCCTTATCGGCTTTTCTGACTTCTGACTGATTGATTGCCATAGATTTAGTGACTTAAAGACATAGATTTATAGACCAATTGACTAAATAAAGCCTGTAAATACTTACGAAAGCGAAACTAAATAAATCTTCCAGTGTTACCCAAGTGGGGGTTGCGGGGCAACGCCGTTATGTACCTCGATTCCGGCAGGAGAAAGTACAGATGGATTGTAGTCAGTCTGACTACAATCCAAAAAGATCCCAAAAAGATGGAAAAAGTCACTTGAACTGTACCTATAGATACTTTTACCTTTATCGTTTATGTGGCAAACAATACAGTTGTCAACAAAACGTGTAACAACACCAGCAGTGATCGTGAAAAATGTAACAGCGGGGTATATTTCATTAGAAATATAAACTGTAACGGCTGCCCGGTTGTGTTTAATGTCACGGCACCGTGTCCGACTGTCGGACGGCACGCGACCGGCGACGTAATAGTTGACAAGTGGCGTTTTATTGGAGGCTACATTTTATCGGACGTGGCGGCTTCAAGCTTTGGCACCCGGCTTTTGGGCGGGAACGCGTTTTATGGGATGTCCGAAATACGGTTTGTCAGAAACAGGAGGAGACAGGTCGGTGTTTTATGGAAGTTCAGTTAGAATTGAATTCTACTAAAATGTCTTCAGGTACTTAGTCAACAATTCGTGATTTTCTAACATTTGATCGTAGATACTCACATATCTATTGTAGGTAGTCCCATAGTTACAAAGTGTTAGAAAGTGCTAAAACTTTTGGGTCCAAAATCGATTATGTAAAATACTTCCAAACTTTTGGTTCCCGGTGATTATCCAGGAAAATTGACTTTAAACTTCCAAATGTGTTACTATCTTCGCAATATGTTAGTAGCACTATCATAACCATATAATACCATAATTATATACCCTCGGTCCTGGTCGTGCGTTTGGTTAACAAAACTAAGCACCTGTCTTGCTCATAATTTTGGGAATTTTGCTCGGACTATCAAACAAAAAATTTTTCTATGTTTAATTATAATATGACTCGGTGTAGTGGTAATTTGTATTTTTGTTGTACGTTTCTTTTTAGAACTATATCCCTTTTTGCTTGCCATGTACAATAAATGTAATATTTTCAACGGAAGCGCACAATTCTCAGTAAAACAATTGACTCGTTATAAAAGTCAACATACATAAAACATTACAGCCGGTATCTTCCTCTACAATCGATGTGCATTTCCTTATTCAGATGTCCTTATGTCTATTTAGAAAAATAGCACCTATCAAACTGCAATCAATAAATATATTCTTGGAAGTTACCTAACTAGTCGTGATTTTTATTCATATAAATTGTTATCATCACCCTGTTACAACAATTAAAATACATACTTCGTTGGTCCCAATGGGTCTCTTTCAGAGAATTTTGGGTAGTTTTAAATCCTGGTACAAAAAGGTCAAATGTTATAAGCCACTCTCTATTAGTTGAAAAAGCGACTGAAAGTTGACTGTCTGAAAATAAAATGTGCATAGTTGATATTTGTTAAATAATTAAATTAAGTCATTACTTTTAATATCTACCTACTTTGATTAAATGTATCAATGAAAATAATTATAAATTGAAGTCCCAGATGAAAAGTACTTATAAATTAAATAGAGCACCGATATTATATCACCCCGGTACACATACAATGATTTACGAGCTTAACAGCCACTCGCAATATTAAAATTTTCTGGCGCCATGCTAGAAATTTGTGTTTCTGAAAAATATGCACACAAAAACGCTGTTCACATTTTTTCTCATTCCCAATTTTAATCTATATAACTGACTGGTGGATTAGTGCTTCACTATTTTTCGGAAAACACTTTTACACCACAAAAATTCTACCAAGAATGAGCGAGGATCCAGGTAAAAAACATACAATAAAAAGGTAAAGCCTTATTATTACTGCTAATTATATTTACTATTGAATAAAAGTAGAACAAGTACAAAGCCAACATTAACATTTATTAAGCTAAATAAACTAGGAAGTAGGTAACTTAGATATTGTTTTCACAAAACACTAATCTTTATAACATCCAAGAAAGGATTTGCAGATTCTTGAGATAAGACAACTAAAATTCGGCCGGTTATAAAAATATAAACGAAACCTTGGGGAAAATGTATTTTAAACAAATTGTAAGATTTAATTGTTTTACGAATTATTAGAATAAACCTGTTTACATTCATTACGACCATTCCAAGATTATCTAGATTCTATTGTCTTTCTTATGTAAGTTGTGACGTTTGTTGCTACAATACTATACCTCGTTGAATTTTGTCTGTAGTCCTTGCAGTTTTTATGCTTGCATTTTATGACTTTAACTATATTTGGTAGGGTATTTAAAAGGCAAAGACCAATTCCCTGCAATGTGATTTAATTAAAGTAGGTAAGTACCTACCAACCCTGCGGTAGTGGGCGGGAAAGGGATTTGATGATATTCTCTGTCTTAAAACTGATAAGTCTAGCTACCTACCTTTTTTTCTAAACTTCACTTTTTCACTACCAAAAACTATGGTTCCACGATAGGTACGATATTACCACGTTAAGGTATTTGTTTCGAAGAACTAATATTTCAAGTATTTTATTAGAACGATAATTTAATTACAAAACGAATGTGCTTGTAAAGGCACCCACAGGATAAAATCCAAAAATAAACACAAAAGTATGCAAACATGCAATCACAGACCCAAATAAATGCTAGACACAGCTTTGTAACTTGTAAATCGTTTTTCTGTGAATCTCTTTTAATCCTGATTGTATCATCAAAGTGAAATGAATTTGTATGAATCCTCTTCACCACATAGTTCTGCTTACCTACCTCACGTACACAGATGTGAAAGCGGTAGTAAGCGGATTATAGCGAAAACTTGTTAGCTTCACTGAATATACATATCCACGTATATTGAAATCAATTTCGACTATTTCCATTTCATATTTTCATGAATTCAGCACATTTTTTAAGCATTTTTTAAGCTACGCAGAAACTTCTACAGTTGAAAATATACTATCGGCTTTTGGCTCGTTTCGAATATGAGAAGCACTACTTACAATTCAAAATAAATTTAACTAGACCTCAACCTCAAAAAATATTCAAGTATGCGAACATCATACACATTCGTACACACAAATAGGTAGATGCTGCAACTTATACAAAAGACTTGCATATATGCCATAGCTTTTCGGCACGAATGGGTCGGCTCGACCGAAGCGATATGTCGGCCTCATAGAAAACCGTCATAAAAACAGCCACAGCGTTGTGTTTCGCTGTATGAGTGAGGCCCAATCCTTCCCCTTTCCCCGTCACTTCCCGTCGTCAAATAATCGTAAATCTTCGAAACACTAATCCCTAAAGCGTAAAAACAGACAAGCGTCGGCAACGCACTTGTAATTCCAGTGGAGTTGAGTCCAAACGACGCCGTATACGCCCTAATCACAAAAAAAAATGCGATCTACCACAAAAACTCCAGAGCGATTGTGTGACAGTCCATATTCATGCTACCAACAAACATACTCTCCTATGGATAAATTGTTTTCCTCTTCCTCAGCTTGGGGTGGCTGTCGGCTTCGTGTTGCCTCCGATGCTGGTCCGTGCATCCGGCACCATCCCCGAGATTGCAGCTGACCTGCGCCTCATGTTTTACCTCATCGCAGGCTTCACAAGCGTGCTGTTCGTCTTCATCCTGCTTTGTGAGTACTCCATTCGTTATCTATTTTATTTAAATATTATACAACATTATACCGACTGTATCTAGTTACTTGATTGGTGTTATACAATTTGCCAGCTTAAGTTATAGTGACACTAAGTCAGGACTTGTTTTACCTGAATTTTCAAACACCAAGCATACCTTACTAATGTCAAAATGAGAATTGATAAAACCCAAAAACCGCTTGCTATAAATGCATCCAGTGGTTGTTGCCACTCGACAAACGAGCCACTCAATATAATATCGATTAATCAGACATGCTAACTAATGGATAACTAATACCTATTTAGGTTAGGAATCCACTTAAACATGTTTTTGATCATAGACATTCAAGTTCTCACAGTACTTGGTCCTATTTTTGTAGTATATTGGTTATAACTTTTTTGAAAGGCAAATCGTACCTATAACAGAATTCGATTTCATTTGACTCAATTGTCAGTTTATGCAATAAAGAAGGGTTTGTTCGAGCACAGGTGCACGGATATACACACTATCGCAAATTTCTTTTAATTTACGAGTCTCTTAATGGGATATTTGCCAATGGCTGCATATCGTGGAAATAAATAGCGATAACTACCTTACTTACATGGATTTCGTTTTAATATTTCGATAATTTCGAGGTTTCCCTAGAGTGGGACTGATAATGTGTGGTTTTAATAGGTCCATATCCACAGATGTATCCTTTCTCACTTCTTTATGATTTTTTCGTTTTTAGGACCTCATAATTATTGATAAGTCAAGACCGCTAACACTTATGGTCACATACTATAATCAAAATACCATTAGCATTATTTTTGAAACTTATTTGAACGCCAATAAGGCAAATTAAAGAATTAACTAGCTAAGATTTCTTAAAAGTGTAACGTAATTCCCTCGTTATTAACACGGGAAGCACTTAAAAGTTGTTGAACCAAGAGTTACCAGATCGCAGTATTCGCAGTTAAACTTGTGTATAACCCATAAACGTTGACAGTTTGTAACGAGTGCAAGTTATTCCGCTGTAGTTGCAGGAACAACTAACTGATGCAAGTTCTGCTTCTACTCCTTGACTAACTCGATCAAATAACTTTGAGGACTGACAACTTTTAAACTGGTTTAAAGGTTATTCATGATCTGCATTTTTGATTTTACTTTGAACTACAAATTGCTTGGACTTAAACCATCCTTAGGTCCGTTACTGGGGTATATCTTTGGATTACCTGGCTTCTGGCTGATATAGGATGCCACACTTCCTAGCACTCTACACTTACTTTAAGGGAGTGTCAATTGCCCACCTTGAATCTTCCAATGCAGGGGTAACCTTAAATTGTATTCAAGCCTTAGGCATAGCCTAAACCAGTTTTGGTATCTAACTTGATTTTGGTCACCCTACATTAATTAAAACACCATTTTAGACTGAATACCAATGAGCATTTTTATCACAACAATGAAACAATGAAACGTAAGAATAAAATCGATTATTTAGTAATTGAGGTAAATCCAACTAAAACTACATTTGTTGTGACGTCATTGTGGTTTTTTGGGTTTTTCTTTCCCTCGTCGTTAAAATGACTTGGTTATTATATTAACATTTTCACTTTTTTGTGATGAATAATAAAATGACGCAATACGTGACGTACATACAACATACTTACTCCTGGCTCTAAAAATGCGGCAGTACAAACATTTTATTTTACTCCTTGATAATTCAGTAATGGGATGTGTATTACCTATTTTCAGTCTTTAAGGCCGCTCCCCCCACGCCACCATCAGCTGCTGCGGATCTTGGCAACAGTCTGGACTCCAACTTCCTACTGTCCCTGAAGAAGCTGATCACCAACCGCAATTATGTGCTGCTCCTCATCTCATACGGTCTCAACGTCGGCACCTTCTACGCCATCTCGACCTTGCTCAACCAAGTCATACTTACTTATTATCCGGTAAGAGATTTACACTTCATTTTTTTCTTAGACAGACAGCCTGATGGTATGCGATCATCGCCACTCGTGAATATCCGCAACGCTAGAGTAGACTCAAGTTCCTCGTCAGTCTTTGCAAGAAGAGTTATATTCATTCAGTTATTGTACTTATATTGTTTAAAATAATAAAGAATATATACGTGCTGATGACAATCTATCTAGGTTTTGTTTATTTTACTATTATTTTGCATATTTTCATTAAATATGCCATTCTTTCAGGGAGCAAATGTGGATGCGGGCCGCATAGGGCTGGTGATCGTGGTGGCAGGCATGGCAGGGTCGGTGGTGTGTGGACTGATTCTGGACAAGACGCACCGGTTCAAGGAGACCACGCTGTCGGTGTACGCCGCCTCCGTCGTCGGGATGCTCATCTTCACGTTCACGCTCGACTGCGGCTACATTGCCGTTGTGTATCTCAGCAGCATTTTGCTTGGGTGACTACTATTTCAATCTATGCTATTTTTTATATCTCTATTTTAGACCTATGTCACAATTAAGATTATTTACCTATTTATTTATTATAATTTATCAAAATATGTTCCCTCCTTAAATGGTATTCAGTCAGGCTTACCTTGTAGAGCGAGGAGTTTATTTTAATTTAATTCTGACTTTACTGAAAATTTGGCTTTGTTTTGTATTCCAGGTTCTTCATGACTGGCTACTTGCCTGTAGGCTTCGAATTCGCTTCGGAGGTGACTTACCCTGAACCAGAAGGTACCACTTCAGGAATACTGAACGCTGTAGTTCAGGTAATAGTAGCTCCTAAATTAACTTGAAGTTCTCATAAACATGTTTTTGTTATGATTTCTCTTCATCATCGTTTGCCATTTTGTTGACTCGTATTAACCTCATTACAGATCTTCGGTATCGTGACCACACTTCTGTACGAATGGATGCTGGGCACAGTTGGTGATCGCTGGTCGAACCTGACTCTCTGTGGGCTGCTGGCTCTAGGCACCGCCATCACGGCTGCCATACGATCCGACCTAAGGCGACAGGCTGCTCAGAACAACGCCAAGGAGTAAATCAATTGACGTACTAATATCTACATTCCAAAAGTATTCTCAAATAATGCATTATTTTATATAATTATTGTATGCAACCAGCTTTACTTTTTAATTATTATAAATTCTATATGAGTTGGACTCAAGCTGTGACGTAGCTGGACTCAGTTTAAGGCAGGCCTATAAAAATATATTACTAGTAGTGATAAACTATCTCACTATAATATTATTATTTATTACTGATAAGTTAACGTATTATACTTGTGTTAGTGGTGCTTAGGCTGTGAATTTATCGTTATCATCACGTTTGGGCTCATTGTAAGGCGTTTCCGGAGAAAATATTGATGGGAAGTATTCGGAAATAATTTGCAAAGATTTTTAATGAACGTTCTTGTACCTATTGAAATTATTTACATTCAAAACATGGTTAAATATTGAAATGCCTTTTAATGAGAACGTCGTTATCCTAGTGTCAACTTCAGCAGACTACATGTCGGTGGGAAGGTTTGGCAACTTCGGCTATATCTCAGAATAGGGATGACGGCAGTTATGAATATGGAAAAAATATTTAGTTCGTTAGACACAGAAAACTAAATTAATGATTAGGCATGGGAGACCAAGTTACAACGTTTCTAGTAGTGACGTCGAGAATTTTTATTTCAAAAATGTTATCGTCATCCCTATTAGAGATTATTTTTACAAAACCGTTTTGAATGTCTACGTATTTATTTTTTATTTATTTTAGTGCTTTATTTATTTCAGATAGTTCCTTTTCAAATGAATTATAAATATTATTTATGTGATTTATCTTTAGATTTTTAATTATGTAGTTCTAAATATTAAATGAGATGTATCGAAAACATACAATAAAGTTCTTTGAAGGAATGTTTGCCTCTGAGAGGAACAAAAATGTGTATCCAATGAAAACACTCCGAAATACTTATAGAATGAACTATCAAATGTTTTAATATAAATGTTTAGCTCCTAGGATTATAATATAGAGCTAGATCTTGAAATCACGACAATAATTGTGTGACTGTAACTATACGGTAGTTTTTGCCGCAAACTAGAATAGATGTGACGTATCTACGAAATGATATATTGGTGTAGTAGATGGTGAAATATTTATGAAAAATCTGAACAGATATTTTAAATACATACATTATACTATGGTCGTAGTTAAATAAACGATACATATACATACCTATAAATTGAATTATGTAGGAATTTTCAATATAAATCCAATATTGCTCGTGCAAAAAAATTATGCTGTGGAATTTACGCGGCAAAATATAAAATTTTGATAGATTCGAATTGAACTTGTTGCCATCTCTCTTTAAAGGATAATAAAAAATCTTCTATCGAAAGGTTTTGTAAACCCTAAATAACATATTTTAAATAGCAGGGTGTCTTTCGAAGAGGCGTAAAAGTCTCATATCACCGAAATGGTCAAAATGCCCCAAAAATAAAAACCTAAAATGTTCGGCCTAAAGGCCAACTAACAAATAAATGTATGTGCATTTAGAACTTTAATTATATACAAATAAATAATTAGGATTGTACGTTAGAGTGTCTAAGCAGAGTGTGAGCTGGCAGGCTGCTCCTAGCAAAATGAAGGCAACAAGGTTTTGTTATTAAAAAAGAAAAAAAAAGAAAGAAGTGGCTCAATACTCTGCCAGCAGGTATTTAAAAGTAATTTATTTTGGGATTTTAAATCCTATTTGTGATCTAGTAAGGATTTATTTGGCTTCATATGTAATCTCTACGTGTTAAAATTAAATTAGTAAGATATAAATAGGTTATAAGGTTTGTGTAAATTTGTTTTGTTAGGCAAGGTAACACTTTCCACTGCATACATTTTAATTACATATTTAAGAACCACCTACCATGCCCTTAGCAATAAAACGGTGAAGACCTGGCAGTTAATATGATGGAGCTAAGTTGTAACGTATAAAAGAGAACGCTTAGGCAAGGTTTTTTTATTGCGATCGCAACGTTACCCCGCTAAGCCCTCTGATTGGTTTGTTAATCTGAACCTGACCAATCAGAGCGCTGAACGTCATAAACGTGTTGATTGACGTTAAGGCAACCCGACGACGCGCACGTCTGCGTCACACAAAATATGTGACCTGACTGATTCTACGCTCAAATCTATGCACAGATATTGCTTAAACATCTGGTCTGCCTCAAACCCTTTAGGATATTAGGTGCACCAATTTTCATCATGAGGTGAATCAATCTGTATGGAGTGGGAGGATGTCAACTGCTCTCGAAACAAAACAACCTACATATGTGTATGTTTGCGTGCCAATACGTGTGTGTAGAATGTGATCACATTGTGAGTTACCCAGTATTAAATAATTTAACTATTGTAAACGATAATTTTATAATTATAATTATTAGCTAAGGAGTATCTACGGTTCTATTAAGTTGTGTTGTAATTGTAAGTATTTGTGATCCTGTTTCCTGTATTACCTAATTGCATAGCTTTTGTAGTTGTCGATCTACTTAGTTGATGGTTTACTTGAAAAATATTAGAAACATTTAAGGCAATATGATATTCCTCTATTCAATATTTTGTAGCTATATATATATGGCTGCATTCAGCTTACACGTGATGAAATTTGCCTGTAGTCGTCTATAGATACCTACCCGGGAAAAAGATTCAGCGTGAATGTATTTTAACGCAATTTATACCTAAGTACGCTAAACTGATTAAAGAATAATTTGTACTTTCCAATAAAAAGAAAGTTAGTAAAGTTTTAATCAATTTTACACATTAATTGAAATCAAAAGAAATGAAAATAGATATTATAGGCAGGATTGAGCCTCCGGTAACATAATTCACCCGGGGGAAATACAACGCAGTAATTGTTTTACGCTGGTATTCTGTGAGGCCGTGGTATCACTCGGGTCGAACCAAATTGTAATACCAAGGTCCCATGAGGTTGTAAGCGTTTTAAAAGTACCCTACTAACTACTACGAAGTCTCCCTAATCTGGTTCACAATGAAATAACGACAATAAACTTACAGAGTACCTAGTCGAAAACTATGGCTATTTTTTGAAAAGACAATTTATAATTACTTCGAAATAAGAGAATACCTTACCCTATCCTATGCTTTGTTTGTATTGCTCGCCTACCTACTTACCATTTTACTGTCATTCCAATATGTATGTGTTTTTTTATAAGTAGAACCTAATCGATGTGTTATAGGTAATGTTAAATAGTAATTGTTAAATAAAATCTGTTGATGGATTAGTTTATTATTTTATTACGTACCTAAGTAGTATAAGCTGTATACACAGCTACCTAAAATACCAAACATCTCCAATTCCTTGATTCCTGTTTTAGGTATTTTATTTTTCATTTTTTTGACATAGCTGAATTTTCTATAATAAATTAACATACCTAAATAAAATACTTAGGTAAACCACAGTCTTATATTTAAATAGGTATAAGTCATATAATTTATATTCAAATATAAGTATGTGAGTTAAACATTATTATTAAGTCGAGTATCAAATTCAGGGCAGCTCAATCTTAATAATGTGCCCAGAGCCTCCACATAATACAACTTTTTCTGTAATAAAGAATGTTTTTAAAACAGTCCTACTACATTCAGCTCGAGGAGATCAATAGATCGAGGCTCATCTTTAGGCAGGGCCTCCCCAATTTTCCAATAGAGATACCATTTCTCCCTTCAATATCATAGAGCATTTGAAAATTAGAATCGTTGACTATTGGAAGGTTTTAAATCGGCTGGATACCTTGGCTCTACGTAAAGAATATGCACGAATGGGTAAAACGTGTTCGAATCTTATTTAATAAAAACCAACCAGATTGAACTCGTACTCCAAGCCAGGCCATGTTAGCTTCTTGCGCTTCACCCAGCTTGGCATATATTATGAACTACAATTCTGTGTTAGTCTGATGGTTTTTTGGATACGACGTTGATTAGCACGAACAGGGCAATCTGTCAACACTGTCAGTAGGTACCTGTGCTGTACCGCGTCCTACTTGTGGTTCCTTATCGACAGGTGAAACAGGTAGCTACTTAACTTACCTTCTAACTTCCGCATCCGGTAAGCACCGCAAGATTCTCTCTCTCTCTCTCTCTCTCTCTCGCTTTGGGTAGTTCTAAAATTCTCTGGCTGGCAGGCTCCCTAGCTACTCTCAAAGAAACGTCTTAGGATGCCATACGTTGAATACTGTCTTATCCTGAGCCTGGAGAGTAGCGTAAAAAATAACTTAAGAGTCTTTGCTTTTCCTGGCCTTGCCTCAAAAGGAAGAAAAGCTCATAGACTCACTTTGTTGGCTTTGCACACCTCAAATTGCCCATAGTGTGCCTTACACTAATGTTTAACCTGCTAAAAACTAGATGGCAGTGTAAACTAGTCATTCAAATTTATACTCTATCGTAAGTACAGAAAGAACATTACATCTTATATTGTTGTCTATGAAGTGACAGTTGCTTTGTTGACATGTCCGTGTGAGTTGCTATGGCGGTTTTTTCATTTTATTAGCAAACACCAAACAGTTTTGCGTTCATGTGATGTGAAATTACAATAAATGTGCAACATCTTGTTGGGCTAAAATTATGTGGCGTAGATATTATTTGTGGAAGCATGTAAATACGGTGGATATCGTGATATTCCGAGATGTTGGGATAAATGAAACAAATATATGTTAAATTATTTTAGTTTTTATTTGTGATTTTGATAAAGTGCAAGTTATCATGATGAGTTGTTACAGTAAAGAGAATCTAAATAAAAACGAATACAATAACATGTGTAAAAGCCACTCGGCCAGGTCGGATCGAGGTGAGTACATAGAAGTAGTGTAAATAGTCATAAAAAATTAACATCCCATCCAAATTATTTCAGTTCCTATAACATACGTAGTACGTTTACAACAGAAGGCTATACTTATCAATTGGTATCTTAATTTACCTCTAGTGAAAATCTCATTCAAAAACCTACAACAGGGAAATTTGTATAAAATTAAATTACTTGCAGAAATCTATAGAATATGCCCATCGAAATTAAGCAAACGCGAATTAGAAGATTTATATTTTTCTCTTCTTGAGGATAATTTGGAACTGAAAAGAACTGTGAACGGACAACATGACAAGATTAAGGGCTTGTCTACAAAGGTACAGCGGATGACTGCTGCACAGAAGCAACTACAATCTAAAGAGTTAAAGGACTGCTGTGTTGGTAGCAAGTTAGTCATCAGTGATCAGAGGGAGTCGTTAGTATAATTTTTATATTTTTTTACTATCAGTTTTACTCATAGTTTAGTATTTTACTACATTTATGATGGTTTCAATAAATATGTCTATCTCCATTGAAAGTCACAAACGTTTGTTTACAAAGTCATACTATTCAGTACAGAGGTGACAAAATGTCACTAACTAAAAATTGAATATACTTACTAAAAGTAAATTTTATACTATAAAACATACAATAGAAAAATCAATTACAAATAAAAATATAATTATTATAGTCTTATACTATTGAAAGCAAATAAATAATGACCCTCATTTCCAATACATAACTCCAATAACTAAATAACATTCTACATCTTTATACATAGAATTAAAATATTTCATCATTATCAACCCATTTCAGTCCACTGCAGGACAATGGACAAATCTCAAAGTGCTCTGAAAATATATTGACACATTATTTTTCTATTAAATAGAGCACATATAAATAAAAAAAATCTTTAATTTATTGTTTATTTGCCTCTCTCTCTCTAATGTTGCTAAGCCATATGTAATAAATAATACATATGGAATTAACTAAAAATTTAGTATTCAGTATTATATTCATGTATGATGCCTGAAATTATCAATATCTAGTTAAGAACCAACTTGCAAATGTTATTTTTTTAAATTAAATGATACAGGTAGCACATGTTAAATAGCAAATCAAACATATGTATAATTTTGCTCAGATATGTTTGCAAGGCGCGGTTTTTGTTTTAAAAAATTGTAAAGTTTGTATGTATGCAAAGTTAAAATGAAATTATTTTACATAAATATTACTTCCAGATTTTTTCTCTTAAACAAGAGTTCCTAATTATCTACTTTGATACTTACTTATAGGACTACTCACTATTAGACTTAGACAATACCCTAGAAGGTAGTTGGTTCTCAAGTATGAATTAAATCTATATCATACAATATTGGATTTCTAGACCATGATATTTCTTATTTTTATGTGAATCAGGTAAACACTCACAATAAGCTTTGTATTGCTTCCAGTATAACAGAATTGAGACGAGCCAACCAAAGGCTGTCTGACAAAGTGCAGCAGCTGAACATGAGGCTATGCTCAGCGAAGCAGTTCTACAAGAAGACACCGTCACAACCTCCCACTTCCAGATGTCTGCGATGTGCTACAGTTACTACTGGAGCACCAATGATAAAGAGGTTAATAATGTACTAAGATTGATTGAACACAAGTAAAAAGATTGTGTTCACCCTTCATGTTAGTTAGCCCTTCGTATATCAGAATGCCTTCAGCTAATGGATAGTTGTTATGAAATAAGTATTATTAAGGCATGTTAATTCTTTGGTCCTGTACGAAATTACTCTCTTATTACCTACATTAAATTTAATAATTTCAGACACAGCAATATTGATAAGTCAAGTGAAACTGTTCCCATGCTGTCCACCTCCATACAATGTGATGATAGGTAAGTCATCATCACTGTAACCAGATTTGTCATGTAATTCAATAGATTAGTCATTATCATCATTAAAAGCACAGTAACCGTAATTACCAGCGTTGTCTTCGTCATCTTCAACATCGTCGTTAATCAACACAGTCACCATCATCGCCAGTCACCACAACCACCGTCTTCGTCAGTCGCAATTGTCACTATCATCGTCAGTTGCCATAGTCACGATCATCGTCAGCCGCAATTGTCATTATCATCGTCAGTCGGAACGGTCACTATCATCGTCAGTACCCATAGTCACTATCATCGTCAGTACCCATAGTCACTATCATCGTCAGTCGCCATAATCACCTTAATCGTCAGTCGCCATAGTCACCATCATCGTCACCATCACCATCATAATCGGTCACCACAATCACCGTCATCGTCAGTCGCAACTGTCACTACCATCGTCAGTCGCCAATCACTATCATCGTCAGTCGCAACTTTCACTATCATCGTCAGTCGGAACGGCCACTATCATAGTCAGTCGCCATAGTCACTATCATCGTCATTCGCAACTTTCACTATCATCGTCAGTCGGAACGGTCACTATCATCGTCAGTCGCCATAGTCACTATCATCGTCATTCGCAACTTTCACTATCATCGTCAGTTGCCATAGTCACTATCATCGTCAGTCGCCATAGTCACTATCATCGTCATTCGCAACTTTCACTATCATCGTCAGTTGCCATAGTCACTATCATCGTCAGTCGCCATAGTCACTATCATCGTCATTCGCAACTTTCACTATCATCGTCAGTCGGAACGGTCACTATCATAGTCAGTCGCCATAGTCACTATCATCGTCATTCGCAACTTTCACTATCATCGTCAGTCGGAACGGTCACTATCATCGTCAGTCGCCATAGTCACTATCATCCTCATTCGCAACTTTCACTATCATCGCCAGTCGGAACGGTCACTATCATCGTCAGTACCCATAGTCACTATCATCGTCAGTCGCCATAATCACCTTAATCGTCAGTCGCCATAATGACCATAATTGTCAGTACCCATAGTGACCATCATCGTCAGTCGCCATAATCACCTTAATCGTCAGTCGCCATAATGACCATAATTGTCAGTCGCCATGGTCACCATCATCGTCAGTGGCCATAATCACCGTCATCGTCAGCCTCCATAATCACCGCCATCGTCAGTCACCACAATCATGATGGTGATTCGTCGGTGTTATTGCCAAAAAGTCAATCATCATCATAATCATAATGATCGTAATTATCGTGATCATAATCGCCATCGCTAAACATTTTTTTATATTACTTATTTATCAAACCTTACATGCCTAGAAGTCATCGTTGTCTTAGGGTCGTCGCCTTCATCATCATAATCGTAAAATCATCACCACACATCATCGTCATATTATTTTATAAGATAGCTAGCTATTACCTATTATCCCTATATTATTATATGCAAAATAAACGATTTGATTTCATTACCTGTTTTTAAACAATCGATGCCGCCCCTGTATATTCGCAATACCAAAGTTCCTACAAGTGCGTTGTTCCTACAACTAATTTTTTTACATTAACGTTGCGTTTTAATCCAAAATAATAAGGTTTTAGACCGGCCTTCTGTAGTTAAGTTAGTTCTGTAGTTAAGTATAAGATTGAGGTCTTAAAGATAGGGTAAATATGGAATCAACAATGAAGCATTACACTTACACGCCGAAACAAGTGTTGATTTACGCCGGTATTCCGTCTAGAGGCCGTGGTATCCGCTGCTTTGCGAAACCGATGGTGGCTCCCATAGAGCCGGCCCCATTCGCTAAACACGGCAATCCTACACTTCTGACATCATTCGTTTTTCCTTTATAGCCCTAAGAGTGCGAAATCTGCGCAGACAGAGGACGAGAACGTTGACAAGTAAGATTTTAACATTGTTTTTTCCGTTACACGACACGCCTTATTGTCACTGAAGCTATACATAATACATGCACTTATTTCATGTAACACCCACTTTTCCTTTCATGTATTCTTTAAGAGTGAGTTTTTTGTCACACATTATTAGTTTTGGATTTCATTAAATTATTTAGGTAATCTTATAAATGCTTATGTTTGATATGTATCTACTTTATGCTTAAGTCGACTGGCCCTTTTGGTTTGCAGCTCCGCTCTCGGTCTCTGACCCAATTTCATAAAATAATCATTGTGTTAACTATGTAATATTGCAGAGCGACCTCTAAACGAACATGTGACGAAAATAGATGTAAAACTCTCATGCAAGAGTTGAAAATGAAAATCGTCAATTTACAAGAGGTAAGAACTTATCCCACAAATAAATTCACAGCAGTTTTTTTGGTTCTTATCTAGTTACCCCAGAGTTAACTGAGTAATACATTTAAATTTATTTTCTATGAAATGAACTGATTTGTGGCTCCAGCATGAATACCCTTATTCGTTTTTGTTACCTCCATTGTTGGTTCTACATAGTCTGGCCATAAATACTGTTACAATTAAAAATAAACAAAATATTACATTTGAATTTGGAATCTGTCATTTTTATATAATTTTTCATTGTGTTTTCTTATTTTGGCGCCAATAAATTGTTCAATATTTTGCGATATTAAAATGGAGTGGGGTGATAAAGAGAACCGAATCGCTGTGATTTGTGTGATTGCATTACACAAAGTGGGTATGGAGCCAAATGCAATTTTTAAAACTCTCCACACGCTTGGCATTAGTCAAATGTTTGTGTACCGGGCTATTAATAGGTACAATGAGACCTCCTCTGTTTGTGACAGAAAAAGAGCTGGCCGTCCACGTAGTGTTCGTACGAAAAAGGTGGTCAAAGCAGTAAGGAAAAGAATTCGAAGAAATCCTGTCCGAAAGCAAAAGATTTTATCTCGATAGATGAAGATAGCACCTAGAACCATGTCGCGTATTTTAAAAGACGACTTAGGACTTGCAGCCTATAAGAGACGCACTGGACATTTTTTAAATGATAATTTAAAAAAAGAATAGGGTGATAAAATCTACACAACTACTCAAGCGGTACGCAAAGGGAGGTCACAGAAAAAATTTGTTTACGCATGAGAAAGTTTTTACAATTGAGCAACATTTTAACAAACAAAATGACCGTATTTATGCTCAAAGCTCTAAGGAAGCTTCTCAATTAGTCGACAGAGTGCAACGTGGGCATTATCCGACTTCAGTGATGGTTTGGTGGGGTGTTAGCTATGAAGGAGTGACTGAGCCATACTTTTGCGAAAAAGGTATCAAAACATCGGCACAAGTGTACACAAAAATGCACAAAATACCATTCTTGAGAAGGTAGTTAAGCCCCTTAACAACACCATGTTCAATAACCAACAATGATCCTTCCAGTAAGACTCGGCGCCGGGTCATAAAGCTCGGTCCACGCAGTCTTGGTTGGAAACGAACGTTTCCGACTTCATCAGAGCTGAAGACTGGCCGTCGTCTAGTCCCGATCTTAATCCGCTGGATTATGATTTACGGTCAGTTTTAGAGAGTAGAGCTTGCTCTAAACGTCATGATAATTTGGACTCCCTAAAACAATCCATACGATTGGCAGTGAAGAATTTTCCCATGGAAAGAGTGCGTGCTTCTATTGATAACTGGCCTCAACGTTTAAAGGACTGTATTGCAGCCAATGGAGACCACTTCGAATAAGCTTTTTATGTTTTAAATTGTTTTATATTTATGTATTAAACTTACATACTGTAAAAGTAATAAATGTTATTTGCAATAGAAAAAATATTTTTTTATTTGTTACAGTATTTATGGCTAGACTAGGTATATAAGAATTCAGAATATTCTTGATTACTCAATTTTACTGACTCAAGATATGTTTTGTGATATTGAGTATACTTAACTATACGCACAGGAGCTGTGCATGGTACACGAAGACTACTCGTCCCGCCTGGGCCGGCTGGAGAGCGAGGTGTCGGCGGTGCGGCGCGAGAACGTGCGCGTGGTGGGCGAGCGCTCGGCCAGCCTGCAGCAGCTGCACGCCTCGCTGCAGCAGCACGGGGACCTCGTCGCGCACTGCAGGCTGCTCGAGGCCAGATGCGGTAGCATGCCTTACACTCCACTCCTTACACCCTTATATCCATGTCATTTGCCATAAACCATGTTTCGCAGCCAGATTGAAGATGACAGTTTAAGAGGTTCTGGTTGATCAACGCTTTCTGATTAACCAGAATGTTTGGCCACCATCATCATCAGTCGCCATAATCACCATCATTTATCGGAGTCGTCATAAACGGTTAATCAAAAAGCGCTGATTAACCAAAACATTTGATTAAGCACGGCATAGGATACGTGTTGTGTATTGTAATCGTACATGATATCATTATTTGACTACAATTGGTAAAACAGCAATTTTAAAGCTCTGTAAGCAACATGAAGCTGTATATTTTGTAGCGGAACTGGAAGCTCAGCTAACTATAGAGAAGCGCAGGGTGGCTGAACTAGAGACGCAGCTGAAAGCCGCCAACATGTCGCACAAAGTCAACAGGACTATAGAGGACCATCTCACTAATCTTAACGTGAGTACCCACACATTCTCATAATTTGTTCAGATAGTGTGACTGTATAATAATTCAGAAGGAGCTCTGCAACTTGGGACTGGTTAAGTAAACATTTCAGATTTTGCGTTAAATACGTTATGACATCTAAGAAACTAAAATGGTTGTGCACTTTTCAGTGAAACTTTGACCCCCCAAATCGAAACAAATAGCTAGATATTATATATTACTAGCGGTCGCCCGCGGCTCTGCCCGGCTTACAGTTTTTCAAGATTTTTTAGTTTTCATTACGTTCAAACCTTTTCTGGACTTCCACGACTTATTCAACACCATTTGCCAAATCGGTAAAGTCATTGTTGGGTTATAACATTACAACGAAAAGTGGCATTGATGGCTAAATATATGTATAGATATAAAAAATATTAAGCTTAAATCTATCTGCAGGAAACTAAAACTACTGAAGCTGTCGTTGCCACCACTAAAGATACTATCAGTGTCATTACCAATGTTACCCCTTTCAATGGCACCACGAAAGGCTCTACCAAAGGCATGACCAAGACTTCCAACGGTGGCATCTCCAAAATAACATCGAATGGCAGTGCTAAAACAACCACTAATGGTACTGCCAAATCTGCCACTAATGGTACCACCAGATCTACAAGTAATGGCACCACAAAATCTACCACTAATGGTACCACCAGATCTACAACGAATGGCACCACAAAATCTACCACTAATGGTACCACTAGATCTACAACGAATGGTACCACTAAATCTGCCACTAACGGTACCAATAAAGCTATCCCTAAAGGCATCCCCGAAGCTGTGTTCACAAATGCCACTCCTCAAGCTTTCACCAATGTAACTCCTCAGACCACTGATACTACTCACAAAACTAACGCCAGTGATAGTATTACTGACATCACCAACGAACCGAAAACCTATGCTGTCACTGATGCGACGAATAACGCCAATGACACTATAAATGCTGCCACTGATAGGGAAGGAAAGGGATACAGGATCCCTTCCAATGTAACCACCGATAACAATACACCCACCATTGCTACTAACGAAGACAATGTTCCTACCCACGCCAACCAGGCCGCCACCATAGAAGACAATGTTTCAAAAAATGTTACCACCAATGTCAAAGACCTTGAAAATACTACCATTGATAAAAAAATCCCTAACAGTGCTATCAACAATGACAATATTCCTACCAATGCTACCATTGATGACAATATTCCTACCAATGCTACCATTGATGACAATATTCCTACCAATGTTACCGACGGTCAAAATATACCTACAATAGCCACCAAGACCGTCACCATGAATGGCAGTGTCTCCCCTCAACGCGATATGAAAGGAACAGCCGATAGTTCACCGAAGACCACTTGTCCATGTTTTGAACGGCCACCTCCTAGAGTATGTTGATAATTCAATATTTATTTATCATTATTAATAAAGACATTTGTAGAAACTAGTCTACCTAGGACCTACATAGTCCCCGACTTACAAGAATAAATACATGCGAGCGATATAAGAACTACATAGTTTAGTATAATATTCAAATAAATTTCATAGTAGCATTTATTCGTCTTTTTAGTTTAAAACTACGAATGTTAGTTAATTATTTTCAAAAATTTCAGTACCAGACGCCCATTATGTGCTTGTGTCCTTCCCAATGGGTTGATAGCGGGGACTCTCAAGATAACAACAATACGAGTGGTCTGACTAAAGCTAAAATTGGCAAGCTAATTAAGTTTACCAACAAAACTACATCGACTGCTGTATGGGTGCTTTCTCTAAAATGTTGCTTGTAGTTTTAAAAAGTAGTTATTCGTTAGTGTTCCTAAATCTTCATACGTTTTAATATTTTGAAAATTTATCTTTCACATTAATTATACGTTAACTTCCGCCTGCGGCTTTGCCTGCGTTGTGGATAAAAAGTAGCCCAGGGTATCACTATCTACATATATCTATATCTATCTACATATCAAATCATAACTTCCACACATTCTCAAACTTTCACATTTATTATATTAGATGTACCTTCATACCTATATTATTCTTATTTTTGTACATTATTGTAACCTATGTTAATTGAAGGGTTGTCTAGTATTGTAGTTCGAAGCTAAAAGTTATTCAAAAATAGTACCAAATAGATGTACACGAAGTGTCAATTTCCAGGGCTCAAAGGTTGATGATTGTGGTTGTACGTCGCACCAATTAATGGAAACGGACCTCTCGAATGCTTCCTCCACTAAAGTATGATTATATTGCTTTCTATAATATTTTACTATTGATACTAACCCTTCTTACTATCAACAAAGCGTGGGAGAACCATGCTTCGGCACGAATGGGCCAGCTCGACCGGAGTGATACCACTGCCTCACAGAAAACCAGCGTAAAGCAACACTTACATTGTGTTTCGCCGTGGGACTGAGGTTGCCGCAAATCCCAAATCTATTCTTCCCCTTTCTCAATTCTTAATTCCTTATCCTTGAATCCCGAATAATCCGCAAGAGACTGGCAACGAACTTGTAGTAATTCCTTTGTTATTAGTGATAGTGTCCATGAGCGGCGCTGGTTGCTTACCATCAGGTAATCCGTCTGCTATTTTGCCGACTGGGATATTTGAAAATGTTAATGCCACTGTTTTTAAGTATAATTTAGTTAAACATCGAACATATTAATTGCTTTCGTTGAAAAACTTTTACATAAATTGGGTAGTTAAAAAAAGCCTAACCTGTTGTAGTACAGTGAGTCCCACATGTTTCAGGGCGATCTCAAATATGTTATATGCGCCTGTCATCCCCCACAAAACACGTCCACTCCAGACAAAGTATGCGTTTTACTCCTGAGTTAATTTGATTTTAATTTTAATAAAAAAATAGATATCAAATAGATTGCATACTTTACTTTAGAAAAAAATATATAGGTACGGTAGAAAATGTAGAAACTGTAGCAATAAACTTTAGCAATGTACTGTTTTGTTTCTATATAAGTAGAACAACATGTTATTTGAAAAGGCGACACTGCACATATATAACAACGTTTTATTTCAGAAAAACAAAAGCGTAGTAGAGTGCAGATGTAAGCCTTGGAACACTGCTATGGAACATTTAGAAGTATGACCCTTATGTTTCTTAAGATAAAGTGTATTTTCCTATAAATTGTCTTTTAGACATTTTGAAAAGAAAATGGAGGAAAAACAATCATTGGCATTAAATTGGTTTTGGTTTAAAATATTTTGTAGATGTTGATAATTATGTATTGTTAGGAGTTCAAACGAGAGGAAAGATTTCGCTGGAAAAAAGTAATTCTGTCTCCTGAAATTTACCGAAGGAAGTGAAAACTATTCCGGTTTCTCTTTTCCTCGTCTTCTGGCTTATTTCGTTGCGGGATCCAAGACTGTTATTCATGTCACTGGGACGCGCCGGACTTCAATGTTTCGGTGATTTCATGGATGTACCTACTGTAGATCCTGGCTTACAGGAGTTGCAGCGGTTTTGGGAGGTTTTAGAGGGGGAATGGGTGAAGCCATTAAAAAAATAGTAGTAATAAATAATATTGTTGCAGGAAGACGCGAGGTGTAGGAAATGCTGCTACAAAGAGCTTGACAGCAGCGTCATGGAGTCTATCGCCAAAGTATGTATCTATAAATAGATTTTATCAGATACCATACCATGTATATTAGCTCGGATCCATGTCAGAACAAAAGGGTGAACAAGTGAACAAAAGGGTGCATCGAACAAACAACAATTTAGCTCGATTCATTTCAGGATGATGCGTATTGGATTCTACAATTAGAATCATTGACAAACTAAATAGAACCACTTTTTTATATTTTTATAACCCGGACCCACACTCGGAATGGCACCTGTGTCGTGGGTGCGCAAAAATAATAATTTCACATACATGTGACACCCAGACTCAGAACAACAATTTGTATTAAATGGTATGCAAAATATTGAGTATAAATTTGATTGCGTGGCATGATTTTCCGTTTTTTGGTCGTGTGTGTCATGGATTTCCGCAAAGTAACGCCTGATCTACAATTGTTGTAATTTATAGAAAATTACAACAATTGTAGATCGCACAAATTGTTCCGTGCGGGAATCGAACAGGCGACTCGTTACACAGCAGCCAACTGCGTAGTCAAATATTTCCGAGTCGCTGTTTCCCTTATAGTCGGCCCCTCATGTCTGAGGATCGTGGTTAGCATCGGGGTAACATCTGGAGGGAATGATCCGTCTCCACAAATTTCGATCCAGTGCATCTCTCAAGAAGACGTTGTCAATAATGGCTGTTTAAGTATGTTGTTTAGTAAAACTCAATAGTTTTTCAGAATGTAGTTCCTACAACCGCCACCGCCAACGCTGATGACACGCAAGCGTCGCCGATCAAACCAGAAGAGGTCAAAGCTAAAGCATCCGACGACTCAGGCTACTTGGACTCCAACAGAAGCCAGGATACAGATGAACTGGTCAGTATACCACAAAAACAAAGAGCTAATGCGGAGATGGTATTCGACTTTAATAAAAATTCTTCTTCAACTTATTGTTGTTTAATTACACGTCGTTTTTTATGTTATAAGACGGCAAACGAACCGATGGAATACCTGATGGTAAGCAATCAGCGCCGCCCATAGACGGGTGTCAACAACGGAGGAGTAACGAGTAAGTTGCCGTCCTTTTGGGGATTAGGGTTTTGGAGTAGGGAGTGGGGGAGGAATATAATGGGGTCCAGTAACCTCATTTACACGACTAAACAACGCTGTGGTTGTTTCACGCCAGTTTCCTGCGACGCCGTGGTATTTCTCCGGTCGGTCGAGCCGACCCATTTGTGCTGAAGCCTGGCTTCCACAGTGTTAATATTACTTACCTAATACGTAGTCTAATTGTTGTAATAATAGAAATATTTGTTACAGGGTATACATAAACTAAATAAAGAACTGCTAGCTAAAGTACGAGAACTGCAGATTCAAGTGGAATCCTTGAGAAGGGCTCAGGTAATGGAAGTATTTGTAAATGTACAATGGACTTGAAGAATTTATGTTGTTGTCAATTTAGCAAGAGCCGTTACACAACGCTTCACAATGCTACAGTATAATTGTTTATTTTATTTAGGTGAGCAACATGTCAGAAACTAAGAAGAAACTTGATGAAACTTTGTCCAGTCCAAGCAACTCTATTGACATGTCTACTGTAAGTATTCAAGTTTGATTACTATACTACATCATCCCACATTTATATAATTATTCCATAGTTAATACCTCTGATGGTATAATTCAAATCAGCAGCCCATCAGACCAGAACGACCGACCAGGGTAAAAAATGTTGAGAAAAGACAACTCCCGGTGCCAACCACAGCTCAGACGTCGGTAAAAGGCGATGACGAGCCGACGAGACCTGCGACAAATAAACATTATACAGATAGTCCGGAGAAGGGCGAAACTAGAAAGTATAACATGTACCACAACGCCGCGGTCACACAAGAAAACGAAGAACACAAAACAAGTGCTTTGGCAGAAAATACAAGCTTGGTAACGCAATACAAGCGCAACACTTCGGAACTAACAGTCAGCATGGACTTGACGCACACACAGACAGACGGAAAACTGGAAGTGATGAATGAAATGACTACTATACGGGAGTCGAGCGACCAAGACCTTGCACAGGCTACCGACACTAATGAGGGTCGTACAAGCACGGAAGAGCGTGTACAGGATGGGTACAAATACACAGACACTACGCAGCAGTCTCGGCAGACCGAACAGAGCCGCACTGAGCCCAAGCAGGCTGAGAATTCGTCCGTAGACAGCCCGTACAAGTTTGGTGCCTCATCCTTAACAGGTAGCCTAACTAGCAACCCAGAAATAGGTGTTATCGTGCATTCAAATTTGGCTAGAAACAACGTCCGGGAGACAGGTGAGGCGTCGAAGCTGTTCGGCGGGTCGGACAGTGAGTACCCCACCCACCTGCAGCTGCCCATGGCGGAGGCGCTGGTCGCCACCCGGGCCCCCGCCGCCCGCCCCGACCCCCGCCCCGCCCTCGAGCTCTGCGAGCACTGCGCCGCGTGAGTACTACTTGACATTTACTTCATCTTTTTCATTTTTATTATTATAAAGTCGATGGTTGTAATTTATCGATAGAACAACTCTAGCTCTAAAATAAAATTAAATGTACTTTTCTGTATATTTAACGTTTATTTTGTAAGAGAAATATAACTTTTAGCATAATTGCTAAAAAATATTAATTTGCAAGGGTGTGAACTCTTTTCAGCTGCACTTTCGATAGAGAGTGTGCAACACGACGTAGAAACACGACCGAATCGGGCAACACGAGTCTTGGCAAGGAAACTAAAAAGGAACAAGCTACGAAAACCGACCGGCACAATAGCTTGCAAATACCAGGCCCCTTACCCGCTGACAATTACAAAAAACGAAGCGTGTTCAAGCGCTTCTCCTTGGACAAGAAAAGGGATAAACAGAAACAAGCAGCAGCGGTGGCCAAGTACAGCAGCGCCACGGCGGACGGACCCATCAAGTTGCCCGACGTCTCGCTCATCGACCAGCCGCGGGCTGACAGCCTCGTCGACGTCAAGGGACACAACGCCTTCTTGCATGGCAGGGACTCTTTGGATGCTCAACGCAACAGAAACTCCCGAGACAGGCAGAGCTCTGCTGGGTTTAAAGACCACGATGCAAATGTTCTGTACGCGCCGGACCCTCTCAGTGACCGCACGATGCCCACGATGCTGGAGCAGGACTACAGGAGCGACTCTGAAGACGAACGGACGAAGGCGCAGACTAAGGAGCAAGCCAGTCAAGCTGCGCACGGTTGCTTGTGTGAGTTATAATGTAGTCGCTACATAAACACTGTTGGCACCTCCCATCGGCAGCACTTTGCACTTAGAGTTTGGTAGGATATCAGTTGTTTTTGTTCAGGAACTATGAAAATTGGCTACAAAATTCTTAGGTGATTTTGTTATGTTCGTAGAAGTAGATTGCCCCTCGGGCGTCGGTATCGTGAATGCCGTGTGTGCCCCAGCAATAGTTACAGAGTGTGTATGTTGCGTCAGCGTCGATGTCTCGTTGGCGCGGGCGCGACGCGGCGGTGTACCGGCGGTCCAGCGGCACGCTGCGATGGCGCGCGCCGCCCACGCTGCACGAGCCGGCCTGCCACTGCCCCGGCCAGGTCGACGGACGATGCCTACCCCTGCCCATCAATAAAGGTCCATTTCTTCTATAAGAAAACCAAGGCTTTGGCCGATACACGACTGTTGATATCAACGATTCGACGTCTTACAATTTTGAACCACTACAATACCACGTTCGTGTATTGGGTTAAGCGCAATAATGTACTGCGGTCCCGGCCGAGTAGGAGATGAAGGGACAGCGTGGAGTTTCAGTAAGAATCTGACACTCCTTCTCGCCCCAGTCAAAAAAGTCATTTAATAATTTTCTCCTGTCGGCAAAAAGGTATGTTGCAGCGCTTGACGTTAGTGTAACATATGCTTCCAATTTAAGTGTTCATCTCGTTTATTGGTTTTCTGACATGTTCAAAAGGTTCAGATATTTTACTTTCTGACATGTAAAGCACTCGCTTGCACCCCACAGTTGCCATTTATGTTTGTCATTGAATTTAATTAATTGTAAATACAATAATTAAGTAAGAAATTGTGTTACCATTATGTTATCACTACAACAAGAAAATTTATTCAGGTGTACAAGTGGAGCGCGGGTTGACAACGCATCAAGTATCTATATCGTCGGAGCAAGGAACGTATACAGTGCACAACAAAGAAGCACGAAGCGTCTCGTACGAAAACACTGACTATGAATTGTCCAATATCTCCGATTTGCCTTTGGAAAAAGACGGTAGGCGGATCTCCGATTTATTTTTTAACGCATAAAATATTTCCTCGTGAAGCACGCTCATGAATAAGCACCCTGTTGTGATTTGAATTTGCACGGTGCTCACACATTATATAAATATTATTTTTTACATTGCCTGGACTTAAAGAGATCCTCTAAGTTGACTGACCTCTGAGTTCGTTCGTTCGTTTTTGTTCTTTTCAGAGATTAGGTAAGAAATTCGGCTTCATCTGGGTAATAAAAATATAATTTTGACGTGTAGAAGTGCTATTTTATTGCCCACTAGCTCTTACTCGCGGAGTCGCTCCCGCCATTTGACTACTATCCTACTCTACCTAGGGTGGGTAGAGTAGGATAGTACCTACTCTATCTACCCTACTCTACCTACCCTACCCTACCCTATCCTACTCTACCTACCCTACCCTACCAGACCTACAACACCTATTCTATTCTATCCTATGTCCTTCTCCCAGTTCTTAACTACCTCCCTATCAATTTTCAGCTAAATCGGTTCAGCCGTTTTTGAGTTTTAAGTGGAGTAACTAACACGACTTTCTAGTCGAATCAGAAAATACTTTTCTTTAAGAGATTCACGACAATTTAGGTTGTAAATAGCTGAAAGCACGCTTTTCCAAGTCAAAATAGATTAAAATTAAGATGAAATGTCAAAAAAAAATCAAATTTCAGCAGCCCGTCCCTACAACAAAAAGTTTTTTACCGACTTCCAAAAAGGAGGATGGTTCAATTCGACCGGATATGTACTTTATTTTTATGTTTGCGCCGATATCTCCCGGAATGGTCCCATGATAAGGAAATCAGGATCTGATAAAAGAAGACAAGAGAAAACGAGGGGGAACTTTGAAAGAAAGAGAGACAGAAAAACATTTACTCTCGCGGAAGCGCACACACAGAAAACAAAAATACAAACATAGAAGAAAATTAAATATACTAAAAATCTAAACTAAATGATACAAATAAAAATGAAACGACTTAAACTAATTTAATAACAAAAAAAAAACAAAACTTTTGTCTATGGTCCACACTGTCCACAGAGTATACTCTTCCACTCCGTCTACTTTCAAAAGTTCTTTTGCATGTTGTTTTAGTAGGCTTTTTACGCTACAACTTGCCGATGGTCGAACTCGACCTGATGATGGAGCCGGAAGACAGTCTAGGGATCTCCTTTACTATTTGGAGTAGTTGCCTTGTGTTTGGGCTTGATTCCTATGGGTTAGCACTTTGCACCAAGATTGGTCGTGACTGTCATTAGGGGTCTTATGATGTAAACGAAGAACAGCTCAGTTCCTGAACGGTTTACAGTAACTACCTCGTGTTTGGACTTAATTCATTTATATCGATGAAAAATTCGCACCTAAATGGGTTACAATGAAGTTATGCAGTAAATCTGATGATGGAGCCGGAAGCCTGTCGTGGGATCTCTTTGACTATTTGGAGTAATTATGTTGTGCTTGGACTCAATTAATTTATATTGATGAGAACTTGCACCTGCAAGTCGGTGCCAAGTGAATCATTCAAGTCATACCAAACAACAAGAGTATTAGAAAAATATATTAATCGGTACCTCCTAAGCATCAAACTTACAATAGGTATATACTTAGGTAATCTTTACACTATTTTTGTTTTGTCAAAAGGCATGGATGGCAAAGTCAAAGTCAAAATCATTTATTCCAACTAAACCATAAACGGATACTTTTGAAACGACAAAATTGAATTAGATAAATAGTAGTCTGTCAGTCTGTTCGTTTGTGAAGCTAGGTGCTCGTTCCTAATGGTAGATTCGAAATGTGAAATGCTTGTTCGGTTACAGGCAAGAGTCCCGGTAAGGCTAGAGCTCTGTCTCCTGGCGAGGACAAGACGACGACGACCACCACGTACTCGGAATCGTACTGCTCGCCCACCACCAACTACTCACTCAGCGAGGGCGAAGTCCCCACTACTTCGAGTAAGATAATACCTACTATTACTATTTTTATGGTATTTATTGGTCGGCAAACAAGCAGACGGATTAGCTGATGGTAAGCAATCAGCGACGCCCGTGGAAGACTTACGGTTGCATTGCCGACCTTTTGGGGACTAGGGGTTTGCAGATTTTGGGATTGGCGGAAGGGAGGATTGGGCCTCCGGTAACCTCACCCACACGGCGAAACACAACGCTGTGGTTGTTTCACTTCAGTTTTCTGTGAGGCTGTGGTATTACTCCGGTCGAGCCGACCCAATCTTTGCTGAAGCTTGGCTCTCCCACGCTTAATATAATAAAGGAACATTTTGAACCGGGTGATAGTTGTGATTTTTTTAATACAAATCCTTTCATTGTTTCAGAAAGGAAGGTGTCTTACGAAACCAGTAGAGAGAGGCGAGATGACGAGTAAGCATATTGACGCCATATTCATCTCGATAATGATTTCACTTCAACACAGTTTTGTAGTTATTTTCAAGTCCCAGTAAAGGAAATAAAAGCTCTGAATTTAGTACCTACATAAGTACTTTGAACAACTATACAATACAGAAGTTTTTTCAACATTAGTTTCCATTATTTGATTACGATGTTAACGTTGGTGCTATAAAACAGAATTTAAAAATGGAAAGTGTAACGTTTATTTGTTTGAAAAATTAATAAACTTAGTACTTATAGTATCGGTAGTTAGTCAGTAGTAGTAGAAAAAAACTTGTAATTAATAGGCCAATGTTGTGTAGTGCGGTTCGCCAATCGGGAGACTCTACGTCCAAGATGGAGGCCGCCCTGCGAGCCATCACGGAGGAGCTCGCGCACTGCAAGGCCTTGCTGCAGGCGCGGCCGCAGGTGACCATACGTACTGCCGTCTCATAGACACCTTGCTATACATTACATTCTGAAAGGTACATTATGAGATGCCCCAGTATGATCACATACACATATCTCGAAAGTAAAAGTAAAAGTAGAAAGTAAGGAGTATTATTGTACTAGTACAGTGTATACTATTATATAAAGATGTTGATGTTGATATTGTTTTGTTATTAACTTGAACATAATATGTGCCAGGTTGTATTTGCTTTATAAGTGTTTGAACTTATTATTTAAACATTGTATTAAAGACAGGTATCCTCTATGAGCTGTAGTATCTGCGAGCTGATCTTACAATAAATTTTATAATAATTTTTATTTTATTTTTTCACAATCAGTTTTTTTCAAAATACTCATTGTAATGATACCGAACTGATTGTAACGTTTGAGTAAAAATATTCAAATGGTAATATCAAGGTCTAAAAGGAGAGTTAAAAGTATTTTCGCAAAAAAATCTAGAGACAGACTTAGACTACTATACATAAAAAAATCATAAACAACTGCAACTTTTAAAAATGATGTGAATCTGTGCCGAGTAAACTCTTTAATTAATAGTAATAAATATAGTAGTTAAGTCTCGATTTATTGATATCGTATAGCTTTGTATTTAGTTTAGCCAAAATATCGAAAACCCCAGAATTACCTCTTCAGTACCTACTTAGAATTTCTTCCTCTACCTATAAATTTTTCCTCACTCGTAGTGTAAATAGAAATTATAAATGATATTTATGTATACTTTTGAATAAAACCTATTTCTCTTTCCCACTAGACTTTTTTATTTTCAATGGGCCCAGATAGATCAATTGACGGTACGCTATCGGCAACCGTTTTTAACATGGGAATGGGACACCTGAGCATCGACAAAACCAAGCATCATCGAGGAGCCTCAAATGCATAGTCGGCCTTTTGGGGACTAGGGATTTGAAATAAGTGGACTCGGAGTGATACCACGGCCTCTCCAGGCCCAAACCCTCAGGTAATTCCCAAAATCCTAATCTCCAAGAGGTCAGCAACGCACTCATAACTGTACCGTGGTTGCGGGTGTCCATGGGGGCGCTGATTGCTTACCATCAGGTAATCCGTCAGCTCGTTTACCGTCCTATCATTAAAAAGCGAATTGATGATTGTATTTAGGCCCAGCCCCAGTCCAATGGGCAGCAGGTGTCGAGCGGGTCCCAGACGGCAGTGTCGGGCGTGGCGCGGCCCATCGCCCTGCGTCCCGGCGTGGCCACGCAGAGTATCGGGGACGCGTACGCTCCCAAGTGTATATTCACGCTGCACATCGGGACCGTCGTCTTGTCCGACGAGGTTACTGCTTCTACATCTATATAATTATAATTACAATAATCAATGCCACTTTCCGTTGTAATGTTGTAACTCAACAATGCCTTTACCAATTTGGCTAAATGGAAAAATGGAGCATGAATTGTGATAGAAAAAATTAAATGTTATGAGTGGTGACTTATTACTGTAGTGAAAGGCGCTCTCCAGATATCTGGATTGACAACTGGCGTGCAATTAGGGAGGCCTATGTCCAGCAGTGGAAGGAATCAGGCTGATGATGATGATTAGAGTGTTAACACATTCAGTGCCCCCGACGCGTATGTGCGTTTCCTCGCACGCACATACGCGTCGGGGGCACTGAATGTGTTAATGCAGTTAGAACATAGGTAATCGAAGCAACTAAAGATGACAATTAGATTGGTAAGCAGTGTCAAAAAGTATATATTTATGAATAGTTAGGTACACCGGAATTTGTACATAGACGGACATAATAAGTACTGTAGCCATACTATGTAGTCAATTTTTAGGTAACTTGTCTTCAGGTCATGGCAGGCCAAGTAGGCACGACGTAGGTACAGCTACATAAAATACTTAGATATAACTTCTACGCCACATGCTACAGATCTGATGAAAGAACTGAGTGTGAGGTGAAATAAAAAAAGCCATTTTGAAGATAATTTTAGTCTAGTGACTATCTCTCACTGTGCTACGTGCAGGCGGTGCTCAGTTCCCGGGATAGGACGATGGTGTTAACGTGGAAGTTTTACGACCAGAACGTGGCTATGACGCGCATGCGCCCTGGCCGCGTCGTACTCTTCGACTTCTCCACCGAGTATGACATCAAAATCACTGACCACTTCCTCAACTACATGAAATATGTACGTATCTACTTCTTGATAAGAGCGATAGTAAAACATTGGTTAGACATTCAACGGTAATAATATGTAAGCACGTTAAAAGCTTTGAATAGTATAAATCGTTTTATAAATCACCTAGGACTAGTAGGTTATTAACTACGAAATGTTGTGAGTTAGGTGCAAGTAAGGTCCAAAGAATTTTAAAGTTTATTGGTGAGTTATTATGTGGTTCAAATGCTCGAAATTGGTAGTTAACACACTTCTTATTACGATTCCACATAGGAAGAGATGAAAATAAATATCTGCGAACTAGACAAGGAGGATCAGCCGTTTGCGACATGTTCCCTCCCTCTGCGCGATGCGCTCCTGCACACGAACCGTCGCGCCGACATGTCGCTGGCGCTGCTGGCCGGGCCGCGCCTCATGCGGGTGCACGACGCGCTCGACGGAGGGGACGAGGTCGGGGTCATCGACCTCTGGTGCATGCTGCGCGCCGAGCCACACATGCTGCCCGGCATCAACCACGCCATAGCGCAGGTACATACTGCATCAACCACGCCATAGCGCAGGTACATACTGCATCAACCACGCCATAGCGCAGGTACATACAGCATCAACCACGCCATAGCGCAGGTACATACTGCATCAACCACGCCATAGCGCAGGTACATACAGCATCAACCACGCCATAGCGCAGGTACATACTGCATCAACCACGCCATAGCGCAGGTACATACAGCATCAACCACGCCATAGCACAGGTACATACTGCATCAACCACGCCATAGCGCAGGTACATACTGCATCAACCACGCCATAGCGCAGGTACATACTGCATCAACCACGCCATAGCGCAGGTACATACTGCATCAACCACGCCATAGCGCAGGTACATACAGCATCAACCACGCCATAGCGCAGGTACATACTGCATCAACCACGCCATAGCGCAGGTACATACAGCATCAACCACGCCATAGCACAGGTACATACTGCATCAACCACGCCATAGCGCAGGTACATACTGCATCAACCACGCCATAGCGCAGGTACATACTGCATCAACCACGCCATAGCGCAGGTACATACTGCAATGTAGGCGCAAATGAGATACGTGTTACTTGGACGATCGTCTTTAATTAAGTGTTAATAATATAATATCTTATGCTACTTAATAGGGAGAGGTGTCACACACACTACACCTCCCCCGTTTTTTAGAAAGAAAAAAAATATCTTAAAATACGCTTTTTTTCTTATAAGTACCTAATAAAACCTTATAAACTACTTACTAGCTAACTTTACTTTAAATATTCGCACTGTTGACAATTTTCAACAAATGATGATTTCTTAAAATTTTTAATTGAATCGGACTATAAATTACATAACATCAAAGTACATAGTCTAAAAAAAATATCTTCACCAAACTTATACCTTTTGAAATTACATAATACTTTATTACAATACAATCGTATTCCTAATTTCTGTTTTTATTTAGGTACACATATATTATTTTCATTTTTACTTAAACTCTTCGTAGTCTTCGTCGTAAGGTACCTACGTAATATTCCATTTACATACCTACTAAGCACATTATACAGGACTCTCAGGTACCTGTTTTTATTTATAATATTCATTTATCATAATTATACATTATTTGATATTGTGCTTAGTTAATTCATTTATTTATTTAGTGTCATTTGACCTCCAGTAATTTTAACAGAGAGCGCTCGGCTACACCATTATCAAACTACGGAAATGAGCACTAAATTGTACCTTACGATGTGTACCTAACATAATTAATTTGATTTACTTATCCTTCATTAGCCTTCCATAAACACAAGCTATATGAATTGCTTAGTGGACAAAATTTTACGTTGACCTTAAGTGATCAGCTCTTAGTCATACGCCAAAACTTGTGTACCAAGATATTCCAAACAATATTAAACAAACCTACATACTTATACAAACAATATAATCTCTCCATAGCCTACCTAGTTTCAAATTTCATTCATTTGATTTATTTAGCCAAAGCGAAGTGCAGTTGTTATTGTTAATCGGTGTCAAGTAACATGATTCCAATACAACATGACACTCGGTATGACTTCACTTTCTATATTAGGGCATGGGAACATTCCTATCGGATCTTGTCCCTTACAATTTGTACTAATTTATAATTTTATTAAAACATTAACATTATATTGCCAAAATATATTACAAAACAAAAATGAAATAAAATCCTAATGGATACGATTGTCAACAGGCGGTACCTTATAACTATGCATAGAAGAAAAAAAAAATAGTCCTTAATTATTGTATCTCTAAACTTAATAATAATCATATTTCTAAAATATCTATACTATTTTCCTATTTAAAATTAAACATAATGAATAATTTTAGTTTTAATTATTAAATTAATTTTTTAACATATACGACTTAACTATAATAATGGTGGTGTCCACTTTCACTAAATAACTCTAAACATAAAACACACACACACACAGCTTTCTTCTTCAGGGTAGCGGAGACATTCTCAGACGCTACCCTGGTTGCCAGCATCTCCGTTGTCCTCCAACGGACACCAACTTGCACCCGGCTGCACACACATCAGACTGCGACATCTCCCGGCAGCCAGCAATATCTCTTGTCTTTTTTCTATATCCACCGCACTTTTATTACTTTTTAATTTTATAAACTTTTAATAGTCCTTTATTACATTAAAAAATAATTATTCCGAACTTTGTACTCGTGCGCAGCGCTGCCCGCGTAGCAGCACTGGCAGGGTCGCCATGCAATGTGGGCGCAAGTAAGACACGTGTTAACTGGTCGATGGTCTTAAATTAAGTGTTAATAATATAATATCTTATGCTACTTAATAGGGAGAGGTGTCACACACACTACAATACTGCATCAACCACGCCATAGCGCAGGTACATACTGCATCAACCACGCCATAGCGCAGGTACATACTGCATCAACCACGCCATAGCGCAGGTACATACAGCATCAACCACGCCATAGCGCAGGTACATACAGCATCAACCACGCCATAGCGCAGGTACATACAGCATCAACCACGCCATAGCGCAGGTACATACTGCATCAACCACGCCATAGCGCAGGTACATACAGCATCAACCACGCCATAGCGCAGGTACATACAGCATCAACCACGCCATAGCGCAGGTACATACAGCATCAACCACGCCATAGCGCAGGTACATACAGCATCAACCACGCCATAGCGCAGGTACATACAGCAGCAACCACGCCATAGCGCAGGTACATACAGCATCAACCACGCCATAGCGCAGTTACATACTGCATCAACCACGCCATAGCGCAGCTATATACCGCATCAACCACGCCATAGCGCAGGTACATACTGCATCAACCACGCCATAGCGCAGGTACATACTGCATCAACCACGCCATAGCGCAGGTACATACAGCATCAACCACGCCATAGCGCAGGTTCATACAGCATCAACCACGCCATAGCGCAGGTACATACAGCATCAACCACGCCATAGCGCAGGTACATACAGCATCAACCACGCCATAGCGCAGGTACATACAGCAGCAACCACGCCATAGCGCAGGTACATACAGCATCAACCACGCCATAGCGCAGTTACATACTGCATCAACCACGCCATAGCGCAGCTATATACCGCATCAACCACGCCATAGCGCAGGTACATACTGCATCAACCACGCCATAGCGCAGGTACATACTGCATCAACCACGCCATAGCGCAGGTACATACAGCATCAACCACGCCATAGCGCAGGTACATACAGCATCAACCACGCCATAGCGCAGGTACATACAGCATCAACCACGCCATAGCGCAGGTACATACAGCATCAACCACGCCATAGCGCAGGTACATACAACATCAACCACGCCATAGCGCAGGTACATACTGCATCAACCACGCCATAGCGCAGGTACATACAGCAGCAACCACGCCATAGCGCAGGTACATACAGCATCAACCACGCCTTAGCGCAGGTACATACAACATCAACCACGCCATAGCGCAGGTACATACTGCATCAACCACGCCATAGCGCAGGTACATACAGCATCAACCACGCCATAGCGCAGTTACATACTGCATCAACCACGCCATAGCGCAGCTATATACCGCATCAACCACGCCATAGCGCAGGTACATACTGCATCAACCACGCCATAGCGCAGGTACATACAGCATCAACCACGCCATAGCGCAGGTACATACAGCATCAACCACGCCATAGCGCAGGTACATACAGCAGCAACCACGCCATAGCGCAGGTACATACAGCATCAACCACGCCATAGCGCAGGTACATACAGCATCAACCACGCCATAGCGCAGGTACATACAACATCAACCACGCCATAGCGCAGGTACATACTGCATCAACCACGCCATAGCGCAGGTACATACAGCAGCAACCACGCCATAGCGCAGGTACATACAGCATCAACCACGCCATAGCGCAGGTACATACAACATCAACCACGCCATAGCGCAGGTACATACTGCATCAACCACGCCATAGCGCAGGTACATACAGCATCAACCACGCCATAGCGCAGTTACATACTGCATCAACCACGCCATAGCGCAGCTATATACCGCATCAACCACGCCATAGCGCAGGTACATACTGCATCAACCACGCCATAGCGCAGGTACATACAGCATCAACCACGCCATAGCGCAGTTACATACTGTATCAACCACGCCATAGCGCAGCTATATACCGCATCAACCACGCCATAGCGCGTGGTACATACAGCATCAACCACGCCATAGCGCAGTTACATACTGCATCAACCACGCCATAGCGCAGCTATATACCGCATCAACCACGCCATAGCGCGTGGTACATACAGCATCAACCATAGCGCAGGTATCAACAATCCAAACTAATATGTTAAATGCGAAAGTAGCTCTGTCTGTCTTTTCTTCACGCTTAAACTAATGAACCGATTTCTGTGAAATTTGGTACAGACATAGTTTGGAACTCGAGAAACGATATAGGATAGATTTAATGCCAAAAATCTGCAGGAAGTCACTATGCCACGCGAACCAGCGCGGGCAAAAGCTAGTCAGGGTATAAATTAACTATTATACAGCAATCCCCGACGCTGAACCAGCCTACAGACCCGTGCAACTCCCGCGTGATGAAGCAAATCCTGGACGACGAACACTACAATGACTTTGACCTCGCGCTGGATAACGCCTCGGTCTCCATCTCGCCAGACACGAATGAACTACCTCATTTCGACAAGAATATTGTTAGAGATGCTGTGAGTACATTTTCGTAAAGATTGAAAATCACTTAATGACTCCTACAAATCTATTCTGAGAGCTTGAGTGCTTCAGAGCCAAAGTCTTTTATCGGGAAGCTCAGTTGATAGAGCATAATATGAATATTTTACTTTAAGAAGTTACCATTTTTGTTTTTTATAATTTAGCTCATATTTATTGTGATTAAAAGACAACATATAAAATCTCTACTACCATGCCGTGTAAATAATAATTTCAATTTACTAGGAGCGCGATCGAACTTCATACAACTTTAACCTGCCGAAAACCGCACCGGCCTCCGTGAGTGACGGCCCCACGCATACTGCCAAACAAGAACTGGCTTTTGATGTAAGTATGTCCATTTGCATATCTCTATTATCTATATATTTTACTAGCTACTCTCGCGCGGTTTCACCCGCTGCTCGACTCCATTTGATCGTAGCGTGATATTTTATAGCCCATAGCACTCAGGAATATTGTAGCTATCAGTGAAAGAATTTTGGAAATCCGAGTGGTTCCAAAGATTACCCCCAACATACAAACTTACAAATTTTACCCCTTTATAATATTAGTATAGATAATATAGATATAGATTACCTTACCTCTTACTACTGACTAAAAACTACGCCGTTCCTACTCCTAGTCGCCTTTCTGGATGTTTTGGCGACTGGTTAAGCAACGGATCGTGGATTCTATTCGAACCGTGCAAGAGCATTCGACTACAGAATGAGCTTGCACGGTTCTCACACTTTATTTTGTTTTTACATTGTCTGGACGTAAAAAGACACAGATATCTTAGTTTGTGTCGGCAAAGTATTCAAATACGAGATGCCGGCTTCATCTAGTTTCTTACATATACGTAATTTTGTCGTGTAAAAGTGCTGTTTTATGGCAATATATGGCAAATTCATCGTTTCGTTGATCAGCTAGTTCCTGGTTTAGTTTTTATTGGCGTTGATATACACAACTCAGGAGAATGACAAAACGTTGAACGACGGTAAATCATTTATATAAAATAAATATTTAAGTGCATATGTACCTATCGTAGCTACTAGAGTATACAAATGTATGTATGTCAGTTCGCGTTGATCGCATAGCCGAGACTTGGCATCCGTACAGTACCTACACGTTTAGTCTTCGATCAGTTAGCTACACGTATACCGATATTGATTCTATGTTCCACTGCTCACGAGTACATTAGCAAGATAATGTTTTATTCGAATTTAGAGGAGGGAACAATCATCGTGGAACTTCTCATGCCCTGGGTTTAGTAAGAGACTTAGACTATGCAACTATTACTGATTAAAAACTACTATTCCATTTCTTGCTCCGGGCCGGGCTGTTATATTATCGCGCTTTTTTATACTTGGCTGTGATATTATCGCGCTTTTTTATACTTTAACGACAGACTAAAAACAAATAAAAGGTACCTACATGCGCGTTAAATCCCGTAACACAGTAAAGTATTATTGCGCTTTTACTAGTGGACGATGATGGGTCTTCGAGGCGTGCGCGATCTGGATTCTATTTACACATTTATTATTTTAAATTCAAAAAAGCACGGTGTTCAAGACTTAAGTAGTACGTGTACCAAGTTGTATCAAAATTAGTTTGGTAATTTCCTTCAATATAGACTAAATCCCGTGCCGCGTAAATACTTAAGAAAATAAAACGCGCTTCATTTAAATGACGCGCCTTTTTACCTTTGGTAGTAGGTAGTGGCTCAGTGGTATGCGTTGGTATGTTCTAGCTGAGCAAGTACCCACCAATGCGAAAGCGGCGCGGCAGCGGCACGCCCCCCTCCAACGACTTTAGCACAGCCACTCCCACAGCTGGTAACGAAGACCATGACAATCCGGTAACTCATTTCAATAAAATTACAAATACTGCCCAACATTTTTCACAAGATTCCCACAAAAAGAACCAAATCGATTTACTAATTCTTGAGTTAATATTCATTGTAATCATCATATTATGTAATTATCACACTGCTGAGCAAGGGCATCTTCGCACATAAACAAGGAATCAGCTTTAATCATTGCGCTTGTTCAAAAGTGGCGATTTTAAATTGTCCATTAAAATATCAAGTCCAGATGGACTTTAAATTAAAGGTAATCTTACCTCGGGATGTTTCCTTCACTATATCTCACTGGTCAAAACAAACTTAAAAAGTGACTCCAGGAACTAATCGAACTCTTAGTTCTTCCTATTGCTCATCAAAACGATTTACAAAGTTCTGGGAACCTACGTAAAGTAGATTTTTGTTCATCAAAAATGTCATCTTTCTTTTTTAGGAACGCGATTCGGGCATAATTATTAACGACGTGGTAAGATGTTTTTAGTCATTCGCTATATTATACTTAAATTTGTACAAGATTTATAATAATTAACAATAAATAATAATTAAAATGGTTAAAATCTCGATGGTTTCAGCTTCCTAAAATCAAATCGCCAGATGATATGAAACAAGTTTTAGAAGTAAGTATCTATTAGTTTACAAGTTTTGATCTTTATAAAACACCATTAGCTATTTTTCCCGACTACGAGACTACTACTAAATAGATGCTAATCGGATCTGAAATTTGATAAAGAGATAGATCTCGAATAGTAGATACATACTATACTCTACTTTACCCTTGTACTTCTGGCATTGCCTTTGGTAGAATAAGCTCGAACAATAACAAAAGGAACCGTACGAAAAGTCCTAGAATGTGTAAAATTATAATACTTATATTCAATTATTTTGTCACAGAAAAGCTATGATTTTGGCAGGTTCGTCAAACCAGAAGATGTAAGTATATTTTATTAACTTATTACAAATATTCTTCGTTGTAGTATTTTACGTTAAAGACTTTAAACATAAGAAGAAGTAAATAAATAAATACTTTATGAAAAATTCGTAATCGTATGAAACAGGTTGGATAACTACTTAACCATGTATGTATTGGACCTAGGCGTTTCCTAAACTTGCGACTATATTTGCAACCACCGAAGGTAGCAGCATCCTTTAATTTGTTGATTCCATAATATATACTACTATCCTCAAGTCGCCTGTTAAGAGAGGAGATTTCGGTTATGTCCAAAAAAAATTATACTCTATAGTCCCTCTTTTTACAATCATTTATAACCTCACAGAAGACCGGCGTGAAGCAACCACAGCGTTGTGTTTCGCCGTGTGAGTGAGGTTACCGGAGGCCCAATCCCTCCTCAATCCCTAAATCTCCAAATCCCTAATCCCTAAAAGGTCGGCAACGCACTCGTAACTCCTCCGTTGCGGGTGTCCATGGGCGGCGCTGATTGCTTACCATCAGGTAATCCGTCTGCTCGTTTGCCGACCAATTACATAAAAAAAAATATATCATACTCTGGCTCATGACGATAAAAAATAAGTAATGTATTTGGTTGTCTACAGGACGCAATGTCGAAAGCAAACTCCAGCTTAAGCTCATTAGTGAGTGCATTATATTTTTAAATCAGTAGATCTACAGAAATTATCTCATATTAAAAAATAAAGCGCAAATTACAGACATTAATTTAAAGCATTGTTTGTTTAGAAAAGTACGGCCAAGTTGCAAAGGAGAAGCAGTCGAGGCGTGAGTTTAAAGTGAAATATTTTGATACAAAAGATAGTTCCATTAAACAGTTAAGAGAGGCTTTTTGAGTGAAGAAAACCAACTAATGCCTTCTGCCTTCACTAAGGGCAGATGGGACACGAGAAGTTTGTCAGACTCTTATAAACCAATCCGGTTTTTCTGTTCCGAGCCGGCCTCAATGCCGTTCTAAAGTTTGACTGATGTTTCTAATGTTGCCTGAGATTTGTATACATACCCTTTTTTTTATTTTACTTTCGACAGTTGATTTTACTATTGGAGTAGCAGATCTTATTCTTTTTCCATGGGACTTACTAAAGACAAATAGATAAAGTAAATAACACGTATTTGTATGCAATACTGTCAAAATGGTTGACTGAATTATCAACAACCAATCAGATGACTTGACAAGAGATTTAACAGGAGATTAGTTAATTTTAGCTGGTGTACGTGTCATGTTCGTGAACGGACGCCGCCTATTGGGACTGGTCAACTCGAGACTGTCTAAAGTTGCTGTCCCTGAGGGTTATTTCTTTTTCGGATACTTTGGTTAAACACTAGTGTTACACTGTTCTCACATAATGGAGCTATCTAAATTATGTAACAATGTATTGTAAAAAGTGATTGAAAAAGAGTAACCATGGAGTTTCTTGCTCGTTCTTCTCCATAGGAATCTACACTTTGGAACGAGCAAATAGCTTCACTAGAGGACAGACGGACAGACTGACACATAAAGTTAAACCTTATGATATCTTTTTTGCTTGACGTTCAAAAGTGCCTTTTTTGGTCTATTTGAAATAAAGAATTTGATTTGAATTGATTGATTTGATTTAGCGTTGACAAGCCTTTCAGAAACCGAGTGTTTATGTAATTGTAAGTTTTATCTGTTATTTTTTACAACATTTTGTAGCCACACAAGCTTGAAAGCCAGCGCGCAGTATTGCAGAATATAAGAAAAATGAGTAAGTTTCTTAAAGGTTACATATTTATCATTTATCAAGTAATATACATTTCAAAATTACATACAAATCAAAAATATAAAAAAAAAATAGAAATAGCAATCCTGTTACATTTTTGATGCCGTGGCCGACGAGCATCATTGTGTAGCAAAGTCGTGCCGCTAGTCAAAAGACAAAAAGTCCAAAAAAGTAACTTCTTTCCACAAAAACACAACACCTATCTAAAAAATCGCTAGAAGTTTTGAAAGGGTTATCGCGGAGATTTGTCAATTTTTAAATATAAGCATTTTATGTTAGTTCCGGCGTCATCGCTGATTTTTGCTCCTCATTTCATTTTCGCCCGAAAGTTTGTATTTAAATTACAGTCTGTTTCACCACTTTCACATAGTTTTCCGATAAATGTATGTAGCAGATAGTTCATACAAATTACATACTTACCTAATTTGTTAAAATATCTGGTTTGAACTTATGAAGGCTCTTAGTATAGTATGATAACATTAAAAGGTTCTTTTGAAGATGCGTCGCGTATTATGTTCATCTCTATCCTCAAATCCCTACCCATTCAAAATTAACTATTGCATCCATGCATCGGTTCGGTTAGCGACCGATAACTGTAAGTAAGTACCGTATCTTCTGTCAGAAGTGAAAAGACCCTTACAAAATTCATAAAAATAACGTCAGGAATAATTGAGTCACAGGTAGATCCACAGATGGTAAGTACGACATTAGCGACTTGCAGATACACAGGAAATATGAACACATTGGCAAGCTTATAGGTGATGCATAATTACCAACTATATATTTAAAAAGGAAAACATTATGGAGTTGTCTTATACTTGTAGACTTGTAGTTCCTACGACTATTATTATAATTAAAATAATTTTATCAATAAGATATTGTCTGCTGAACTTTCCTGCATCACTTCAGGTCACAACAGAAATGAGGCCTCAAAGAAGTGCGTCAAGATCCAGCCAAGTCTCACGGACTCGGAAGCGGAAGAACCACAAAGGGTGAATCTGTAGTTGTATTATAATTGAAATTCAAAGACAAATCTGTTGTAAGTTACTAAAACATGAATTGATTTTCATTTACAAAGTAAAGAAAAGACTGCAGTTGTGTACTCTTTTTATTTCTTAAAGTCCTAGGAAAAGAAATCGCGGTAGAAATCTGAGCTGGTTATTGCCAGCTCAGATTTGAGCTGGTTATTACCAGCTCAGATTTCTACCGCGATTTCTTTATTAACCTAATAAACATAGTCAACTCAAAAATATAATAGTAAAGAAAAACAAACCAATGCCATTATGATACTGTCAGGACGAAGAATACTCCTCAGAAGGAGAAGAAGAAATAGACGGTGCGCAGAGACTGGACATCACAGTGCTGTGGCTGGCCCTCAACGAGGAGTGCGAGGCCATGGTAGACCCTCACGTGCAGCGACTGTACGTTGCCTACACCTTCCTAGGTAGGGCGGGAGCTGAACTCGAGACCCCCGTCAGTCTGCCCAAGCCTAAACATTACGTCGACAAATGCTATTTTAACTTTAAGAAGAGTAAGTGTTTTATCTTTCGTAGTTGTATTTTTTTGCTATAGGTTATTTTAGATTTCGGTAATTGTACCCTTAACAAGACAAACAAGAGTTATTATGGAGATCTGAACAAGCAAGAGTTATTATGGAGATCTGATAGCAGTCGGAAGGCGAAGCATCTACTTCAATCTTAGCAATTATACAGCTCTTGTTAAAGTTTAAATATGTCGTTTTCAAGCTAAAATCTCTTTCGTAATCACATCATTTAGACTTCCGATTTTCTTAGCCTTCGAGTTAGAAGAAGCGGACCTGATAAAGCTGGGTCACATGGCTCGGTGTCGCGCAGCCAGCAAGATGTCGCAGGACGAAAGGGACTGCATCATCTTCTCCGTCGTCAGTGAACCCGATGAGGATCCACTGGGAATTGAGAGCTGTGAGGATATTGGGTTAGTATAACGTATGCGGAAGACTGTTTCTCACGGTGCTATGACACGTACCTACCCCCGATGTGAAATGGGATAAAAGTCCGTAACACTCACTTTTGCAAGAGTAACTGCAACAATGTTAGACCATCATATTATAATAAGTTTGCTCTGGTGCTACCAGTAATACCTAAATACAGTTGCTTTGTCTTAACACCTATAGCTGTAGATTAGAGATAGACATAATATTTTGTTGAAAACAACCATTTAGTCTCGTGAATTAACAAGGAAAAGCTCTACTAGTTTCAAATCACAACGGGCTTGTGTGACTTGAATGGCTGTAGTTAAGATAAACCATAATTTTTGAGGGCAGGATTTAGCATAACACCCATGCTTGGCAAACTAGTTTCTGGCAATCTATGCTTTGCAAGACTTGGGGATTTCAATTGGATAACAGAAGGTTTAGAAAACGACTATCTGTTGATGACTGATAGTAGTTTTACGCCTTAACCGGATTCTAGGATACCGTCAATTTGGTCTTATTTACGGAGACGTACGTCCTACATGATCAGTGTCCACGGCCTTGATGTTCTGGTGGTGTTGCAGGTACGCGTACCTGTACCTGGGCGACCTGCTGGCGTACAGCGCGGGCAGCTCGGGCTACACGGAGGTGGTGCCGGTGCGGGCGGCGCGGGCCCCGGCCGGCGTCTGCGGCGTGCTGGCCGTGCGCCTCGACGGCCTGCACGTGCTGCGCCGCTGTCTGCTACTGCATTCACCTAATGACAAACACTCCTGATTCATGTACCACTTGCTTCTACTGCTTCTTCATCATTGCTTCAGCTTATTCAACTTGCTATTGGCTGTTCCATTTAATGACATTTTTGTCATCATCAACTGCTTGTTCCCATTCGCTACTTGACTTCAATTTTCAGATTTTCGTGTCCAAACACTGCCATAACGTTTACGGATATCTTCAATTAGTCCATCGTCAATCGACCCAGGCGGAATGAACTTTTAGTGATAGTTCGATAAGAAGGTATTGTTATTAAGCTGTTTATCTTATTACTACCTTAAGTATTACCTACTAAGTACCTACATATGTCTTATAACATTACTTAAAACTCCTGCGCCACTATCAGCCATTACCTAATGACTGATAGCTTTCAATTTCATATATAAATCATTTAGCTTTAATAAATTTTATTGCTTATAACTATACACGGATTCTTGTTCGTATTCCATTTTGAATCAGTCAAAACATAATACAATAATATTTATCGTCAGCGTCATGTATAATAATATGATGGATCTATTTTAACCGCAGTGTACACGGACATCTCGATCCGGATTCCGCAGCTTCCCGCCACTACACATCCGTGTTTCGAAACTTTACATACGCACACTGAAATATGTTCTCTATTTCAGACGTCTGCAAGTTCTACATTCCTATGATCGACAGATACCGATAATTATCATACAGCGAACAGTTTGTTTTCAAGTAAATTAAAGTAACATTATTTATTTATTCAGTTTTCGTTATTTTACTTGGTGTATTCAGTAACGGACATGAGATTTCGCCGCCACTCATTTGTCAGTAAGTCTGTCAATAACGCTTGGCACTTGACGGGTATGGCACACTATGCGGGCCCAAAATGGCGCTACATTGCTCACATTGCGTAGAAAATGAGATTCATCTTGTCGGGGAACCTCATACGATTGAATTGAAGTGAATTTGTATAGAATCGTGATAGAATATTGTGAGTTAGGAGCGTAGTGAGTATCAGAGTACGGGCTCGTACGCAGTCACGGCAGTGTTTGGGAGAGCGACGCACGCGCGCGTCGTCACCAATAGTTCGGCGATCGAACCGTTTCGTAATCCTCCTGTAATAGTCGCTACTCGCTATCGACCCCATTGAACCGACCTCTCCATGTGTACATACCCACGCCCCGCCATCTCGTGTGTGAAGTGAAGTGAACGATAACCTCCGTACCATCACACGGACAACTAAACACAGGATTTTTGCACAAACAGGGAAACAAAAATACAAAACAATTTACTAATAAAACATGTAGCAATACTCAGGTACTGTACATCTGAATGAAAATACAAGACGTTACATTGAAATGTTAATATCGCCCTGAATGTAATCACAAGACATAAAACAGCTGACATAGAAATTAAAAGGTTTCATTTTGAACCGCACATTCCGATGCGTGTTGAAATATTCACTGAACAAACATGTTGAATTAGTAGATGAACTTGACCCGTCTGTCTACTCTACGTATATGAATTTTATTTGTGTCCACTTTGATAAATAATACAAAGATTAACGTTCACGTAATTTTAAATGCAAGATTCTTTAAAATAGTTTCTTGTTTAAATACGTTGAATAAAAAATCTTTTTACTAAGAACCTACCTACATTTGATGTTAAACTTTTATTACTTTTTTGTAATATTGTCAGTGCATCCACGTAATTACATTGAGTGCATTAGATAGGATGATACATTTGCTATTTTCCTTTGTCGGTATATTGGGGAAGTGTGAGCGCTGGTTACATATTATCTCGTCGTTATTAAAAGCTTCAGTTTATTTTATTACACTGTACGCGACCCATCACAACTCTGAAATACATTACGGCTGTTTCCGTTATCAATAAATTTCTTGTTTCTTGTATATTGTCTCTGGAGACGTCCCACGCTGGAACTTCACGTATAAGATCGATATTATTTCATGTTCCCAGTCTTGTCTCGCTAAGATTAATCGGTCAATCAATCTGCGGACTGCATAGGCGCTCTGCGTCCTTGCCCCAGTGCCGTGCCAAAGACGCGGACGCATTTAGACCGGCCTACCGGGCCTGTTACTCCCACAAACTTTCTTCGTACACCAAACAATTTATAACAAACCTTACTACCCCGCGATAAGAGCTTCGACATTCGCAAAATTTAATTCGCAATCTTTTACTTTGACAAACTTTTCCTCGGAGTCAATCAAGGGATTGTAGGTCTTATTGGCTTGGTTGTAAGAGTGACGGGTTGCGGAGTGGTAAAGTTGTTGAATAGTAAACAGTGAGGAACGCGGAGCTGATTGGCGCGCCGTACACTGACATTTGGACGTCGAACACTTCTTTCGCTCTTAGTATCAACTTTTAGAACTGTCGCTTCAATGACATCATCTGCAATCAATAGTTCTTACTTTTTAATTTTATGATGTAGAATGGTAATCTTTTCTTTTTCGTTAAATATTGGTATGTTTACTCATCTATTATCTGGTTAAGTCCGTGTTGATGTCTTAATTTTGTGAGACTCGGAAGTTTTGTTTGTCATACGTCCAGTTTGATGATCAGGAAACTAGGTCAATGTAACATTCAAAAATAGGTTCGCCATTAATCATTACGCCTAGTCTCAAATTCCGAAACCGTATGAATATCTCTTTTCCAATAGAAAAGTTATGGCAAATGATATTAAAAATATTGGTAGGTTGTATTGATCTGTTCATATTTGTTTCGTAGCGTGGCATAATATTATAATTTCGCTTACTAAAGACCATCGTCGACGTCTATAGACTAAACAAATAATAAATATAACGCCAGCAATATTTCAAAATAATGATCAGTTTCCTGTTTTCAAGAAATGAGAGGAAACAGAAATATTTATACATACCGTTCTTTCACATAAGATAATAAACAGGAGATAAAAAACCTTTGTTATTAAAATGTTTTGTTGACAATTCTTGACTAGGTTTGTTTCTCGTAAAACAATAAAATTAATATCGTGTTTTCAAAGTTTTCATCGTAGAATAATGAATTAAATTGTTGGTATTTTTCTTGGATAACTGCAGCAAAGAAAACTTCGTCTTTGAACAATATTTATTATGCTCATTGATAGCAGATAAACCGCGTTGAAATAACACTTTCATTCATGCGTTTTTTATTCTTCTTTGTATTTAGTATATGATGTAAACATGTGTACACACTCAGATTTTCTGTCGGAGATTTTCCACTTAGTTTGGGAAACATTTTGTCGGATTTTTAAAAGTATGAATCCTCAACATCCTTATTCTAGTTAAATCCTTTCATTGGGGAATCCCAACATTGAATGCGATCGTTTTTAGTATAATTTTCTGATAATTTGGTAATTTCATAGGCTTATGAAAATAAACAAACTGATAGAATAATTCACCCGGGCAATGTTGCGTGTAAAATCTATGTGGTTTAATAGTCGAGTTTGCGTCTATCTAGCTTCTTAAACCGTAGAAGTTCGTTGTCATGACGAGAGCATCTATCAGGGCTCTCCTCCGTCGCTGGCGCTCGGCTCCCACCGTGGAGGTGTGATGCGTCTGGTTATAATTACCACACAGTAACACGTGCCACGTGACATTTCCGACTAGATCTGTCCACTGAGCTATAGTGATATATCAACCGATCGGTTCGTTCGTCATGCCCATTTTGCTATGCAATTGGATTTTGGAAGAGAAAATTCTAAGTACTTAACTATTATTGTATTGCATATATATAGCAAAGAAGAAAAAAATAGCGACTTCAGTCATTTCCTTTAGGTTATTGTGTTTATACAACATGACTGGAATAAAAGCTTAATTTCATTATATTATCAGCTGTATTAAAAAAATCTAAATTTAATGAATTTGTTTAAATGAAAAACGATTCGTTTCCTTATGAAAAATAAAGTATATACAATTACTAACAATATTGGTGTAATTCAAAATTAAATTCTGTCACCGACCTCTTCAAAATATGCAAAACTATAAAATCTAGTAACAGAAACTGCATATGAAATTATAATTCCCACATACAGTAATTCCTTGTAATTTACGTTCAGTGGCACTTTGAATGTGACTCAGTGGAGTATTATAAATAAATAAATTTACACATATCTAGCGTCTGCTCGTAGGTGGCTCTAATAATACCCACCTATTTCAAGTTCATATATTTATTAAATCCGTCCGTCTGTCCGTCTATACATCTAATGTGCATTGTCAAATACAAATCATACGTGTTTTTATTTTCAATCCTTGTTTTTTTTTTAATTTTTTATGGAATTTTGTTTACTCGGTGCACTTCGGCTAGGTCATGTCTTTCCAAGTTTGTTCTCGGATATTTCTTCGGTTATTTTCGTTTAATGTTTATTATAGTCATTAAATTTAATCTATATTATTATAACAAGCTATAGTATTACAGAAATAAGTTCGTAATTCATGGAAATATAGATATAGTATATATAGTGTGAAATATAAATGCTCATGTAACATACTGTATGTGATGAAGGACACGAAGATAAAGGGAGTTTGTCAAAGTCGACCTTTAATGAGAAATGATTCATATGGGGTGTAAAAATCATTGCTTCTAAATACCGGAAGCTTTGTCCATACTCACTCCATCCCAATTCTAAAATCTCTAATCCTCAAATTCCAAACAATCCCTGGAAAAAGGTGCATCGGGTGTCAGATCACCTGACACCTGATGGACCTTTTTGTATGCTCATTTTTCGCCATATCACATAAGAAATTATCGGGGTAAGATAAGGGACACTATAATGTTAATTTTCCATTTCTATAAAATACAATTGGATTACAAGAATCCAATATCGTGTAAAAATAATATACGAGTGTTTTCAAACACGAAACTATACCAATGACATGGAGGCTAAGCTCGTATATCTTGATTAACGCTAATCCATGCTGTTTGTATCTCTCGATGTTTCAATAATCTCCACATTCCTATCGCAACCCTGACGCGACTTTGCCTGCCAAGCTTAGCTCATCAGACGATAAGCCGGATGTCACTGAATAGTTGTGACGTCATTCCAGCGCGAGCGGCCATATGCCGCGCGGAAGTGCAGCCAACCTTGCTGTTTATTGCAAGTCGTAGATTTCGAACATATAATGGTCTTATTTGTGTATGATGATTTGTGATCCGCAAAATAACGCGACGGAAATGTAATGTATTGGTACAAAAGTACATATAGAATCTTAGGATGAGTCTCTCATCAAAGTCGGTAAAGAACTGTGATTGAATAAATTACAAACACTTGAATGTAAACAATTCCCCAAACTTTCACAGTTGCTAAGCACAACTGTAACACCGATACATAGAAGTAATACTATAATAAAACTCATAAACATTAGTATAGCGTAAGAAAACGTTAGACTTCTCGATAAATCCATAAGATAAACAACGCAACTTGCTGCCAGGCACCTTCGAATGATACGATCAAATTTTGAAATAGATAAATAGCCCTTTGGAAGGTCAACATAGATTACAATCAGTCAGCATGTTGATTGATCGAGGATATCGTAAACAGTGCAGGATTTACGACTGATACACGTCCAAATAATTAATTTAATTAACTGTACGAAGACTGATTACTATCAAATATGATTATCGTAATTTATGACGATTAAACAATCTTTATTCGATTTACTCTGTGACCTTAAATTAAAATAGTATGAGTTACGAGAGCGCTACGGCATTCGTAGGCTGTTCGTAGCGTCGTAGCAGTCTCGTAGCAAATTTCGTAGAGGACCTTAGTTTTATTGTTAGTGACTGTTTGTGATTGGTAGTTAATTTATAGGTGGAGGTAGTTGTCTATCTTTTCTAGTTTAAATTTGTAGTAATATTGGAAAGGTACTTTAATACGAAAGATTTGAAAGCCAGATTTCAGACTAGCACAAATGTTTAATTCGATTTGGGTTGTTGTAGCGAGATTGCCACTGACAAGATATCAATTCTATCATCAACGAAATACTATAGTGCCAGTACACGTTTCAAGTAATAGTAAATAGATATAATGTTGTTATACTAAATGTGGATATAGGAAATTCAAAATTTGGTCTCTTTTATCACATAAAAGCAACAAGTTCAAGTATAGTAAGATATTTGGCAATGTTCGTTGGCACGTCGTTGACAACTTGCGCCACGCGCGGTCGCACCGGACTGCGGCGCATGCGCACCATTCTTCAGGAATTAACTACGTGCAGGTGCAATCAGCTGATAATACTGAACTCTGCCAAAGTGATTCAGAGAAAATTTAACTTTCATATTTTAGGTGTTACTTTATTATGTTGTGGTTTTATATGTGGGATTGTAATTATTTATTCTCGTATTTTAAGATGATCGAAAATTTCAGTCGCTTTAGTTTTTGGCTTGCCACATAAGATAGCATATTATGGTAAATATAATATGTGATTAAACATGCTTCATACAATTTTAAACAACAAAACAGTCATAAATACATCGGAGCTTTTCTGTAAAAAAAGTATGACATAAAAGTTACCAATATATTCTGCAGACATACATTGTGTGTGAATGACAATTTACTAGTTAAGTGGGTGGAACATAATAGTTACCAAAAATTACCCGAAGAAACAAAATACACATATACATAGAATTTATATTTATATGCAATACATAAAACATTCAGCCGCTATTAAAACGAAATTAATCGACTTACTCTTTGTCGCGGACGTCCACAATTTCAAACAATACTATTACAAATTGTCAATTAGCTATTCCGACTACATCGTAGATATCTCGTATCGATTAGGTAGATTTAGTTTTATAAACACATAAATATGAACGTCGTATAAATTTTAGGACGATAGTATTTATAACCAGACGCTCACACATTCCCCAGCCTGTCACTTCAATGACATCAGTTCTATTCCCACCGATGGCACTCTGATCAGCTGTTACAGAACAGACAGGTTCAACATTCGCATCTATCTTACATTTTATTTAATCTCCAAAGTCTCTATAACTGACTTGATGACGTCAAACACACGAGTGCTCGTTCATAAAAATATGTATATTTGATGTATTACTACATTCATTGGGATTAGTTTTTATAAATTACATCAATTAAAATTTTGAATAAGATTTGTACAAAATATTTACTTTTAAGAATTACAAAGGATCGTCTGCCCTCGATATTTTCCTAATGCTAACGTTAAAAAAGAATTTTCACATTAAATGCTATTGGTTGTAGCCACAGAGTTTAGACATTAGAATAGAAACATAGTAAAAAACTTATATTTTCTTCTTCTATAGAAAACAGTGAAACAAGAGGAAGTGACAGCAGGAACCAGTGCCAGTGTTACAGTGCAGTGCTAACAAATAAACACACACACACATACACTATAAATATTGTACAGCATCAGTGTTAGTGCACACACACAAACATGGAACACGACACTTACGACATTTTGACCGCGGAAGCTATAGGTCAGTGTAATATATTTGAGATGAACAATGATAGCTAACTAGCAGTAGAAGTAGCAGCTGCTTCGGTAGTACTTACATAGCCGATCTTTTAAAATAGATGTTTGTGGAATTTTAGTCTTTAATAATTTAAAGTTAGAATATAATAATGATAATGAAATCACCAATAAAGAACACATGTTTCTTATGTTCAATCTTCACTGACCAAATTTCCACAAATAAAAGTACAATTAATCTTTGAATGATTTGGAAGTACCTGTAGTATTTTATCCTTTATTTATTTTAAGATAAGCCTTCAAATCATTGTTCCTCTTGAAAACAGTAATTGGCATTAGAATATTAATTTAGTAATTATTTTCTAACAAAATTCTCTTCTGCGCTGACCGTTCTGTTTAATACTTTCCTTTCTTCTATAAGACTACACAAAACTAGTCTCCAATAATTTTCGGGAATAGATAAACTGACGTTTATTATTTACAAAGTGTTTAATTTTGCTGGAGGAATTAAAAAGTTCCATTTAATGGTTGACTGTAATACTTTACATCAATTACACAATCAATAGAAGTATGATCGACAAATATAACAAAACACACAACTGTGCTTATAAAAACTCAATGATATTTCCTTCACAATCCACTGTCAATTTATCTATAAGTTTACTACAAATAAATATTAGATTTAGCAGCAACACTAAAACAAACGATTAACTTAGATTTGACACTCCACTAGCCACAATCTCTCATAATTCTACTTGCTAATGATTACGTGTGTTACTAACTGCTACTATCTTTCATTTTAACACCTCCTCTCATTTATTACGTTTGTGGATTAATCTTATTAACTAGATTTATTCACTTCGTGTCCAAATACCAGGGTGTTCTGATTTCAAGAGAAATCCAAATAAATCCCTAGTTTGATCAATTTTATTTATTCATACATTTTAAAAATGTACAATTTTGTCATCTTCAAATCGTAATTCCAAATGTATACAGTTGAAATGCACTCTTAACACATTCAGTGCCCTGGGGGGCACTGAATGTGTTAAAGAAATCTATTGAAATTTAACAGTGACGCCAAGTGAATAAAACATTCGGTTTGGTGGTTTTTATAACCTTTATACTTGTACTATATTAAGCTATTATTCTATTTATTTATGTGTTTTGGGCCTATTTACGAGTTTATTATTCCCGTTTGCATAGTTGGTTCAATTCGGGAATCCTTAAGACTTATCATTCTGTTATCATCTTTCCGCTTAGAATCAGGCCCCACATTGTCTTAATTTAGTTTTCAAAGATGATTCTGAGAAAAACATCTGTAGCACGTGAAACTTATTGCTTCTGAAAGTTTTCCTTTTCAAAGACGTTCTGGCCCTCAACATTACTCTTCTTCCTTTAACATTTCCTGCAATTTCCACTAAGTTGGTCGACTTAGATATCGGTGTGTGACGGTGTTGTGTGCACAGCGTTCGGCGAGTGGTTGTCGCGCGAGGCGGTGCCGGCGCTGCGACCGCGCACGCTCAGCGAGTCGCGAGCCCGCGCGCGGACCCTAAAGGAAACCATGGATGTAAGTATATTCTGTTAATATTCATAATTTAGAATGTTTATGGACTTTTATAGTACAAAGGAATGCAAATCCGCGTTGGACCTAGTCCTGGACCTTGCGGTACTCCAATGTTGTGTATATAAATATGTTAAAAAAATACAATACTGGTAACAATGTTCGATGCAGCATATTAGTATTAGAAATGTTGTCTCAAAATAACAGGTTGAGCAAATAGTGCGCGATACAGATCAATGAGCTTTGTTATCATTTAAAATATGAATTATTGGTCTGCCGGTGTCCAGGGTGCAACAGATGCCAAATCCCGTGCCATTCATAAATTCTTTACTTTTGATATCAATGCTACGATTGCCAATTGCTCGACAAATGCGTGTTTGCAAGCAACAATGTTTAATTTGAGAATAGATTGGCTTTGGATTTTGTTGAATTGAATATGAAATTCTTACAATTATTTCCTATGCATTATTTATGATGACAAAATGTTAATTCGCCAGGTGCTCGTTCTAGAGCATAAAATTATGCAGTAATTTTCAATGGAACATGTATAATCGCAAATAACCGAAATGCATTAATAAAGTTGGCACGAACGCTTATTGATATTTCAAACAGTATTTCTTTGAGCAAAATGTTGAGGGATGCTTTAAATACACCCGTAGAGGAATTGTTTCTGTCTGTAGGTGTGTTTGTATGAAATATATGAATGAGTAAGCAAATATGTTGGCATCACGTGGCATACTGACTCAGAAGCTGTACTGTCCAATGTCCGTAATGTACATATTATTATATCATAAGATATACAGTATTTCTCAAGAAAAGTCAGAGTACACGAACTCCGTATACTTCTCTATGTCGTCTTTAAGGTTATAAGAAAGTTCTTAATTAACATTTAAAATAGCTACTTAATTATTTGTCGCGTCGCGTGGTTTGAATCTGCTATTTGATTGAATAACTAACGCGAACATTGAATGACGACATTTAATTGATCGACTAGGTTAACGCTGTATATTAATGGTTATTGCTAAGGCAATTTCGAATTCTGGGCCGGTCACATTTTTAACTTAACCTAACCTACCAAGCAACTTGGGTTTGAAGCCAATCCGATCACCGTTCAACTAAAACCTTTTGTGTGAGAAGAATATCTCTCACTCTCACTTAAGTGTGGGAGAGCCATGCTTAGGCACGGACGGGTCGACTCAATCGGAGTAATACCACGGCCTCACATAAAACCGGCGTGAAACAACCACAGCGTTGTAGTTTTGTTAGGTAGTTTAGTTAGCGTTTCGCCGTGTGAGTTAGGTTACCGGAGGTGATCCTTCCCCTCCCCCAATCCCTAAATCTCCAAATCCCTAAACCCCAAAAGCAACGCACTTGTAACTCCTCTGTTGTCGCCGTAATTCGCTGCTGGTTTGCAGACTTATCACATAAAAAAAACTTGCCCCGCAACTCTGGCTAAACAACGGCCCTATTGGGCCCCGTCAGTAGTGGTCTATAGACTCAAGCTAATAATTGACAGCTATGTATTCACAAACTGTAAGCTATAACGGAGCTGCGTAAATGAAGAGTGATTAGTAATTCGTTTCATAACTAAGTACTCATTACTAGTAGCAATGAGTTACTACAAAGTCTAAAATAGCCAGGTCAACCTAATTCAATGTCGCAATATTTTTAGTTAACCTAGACAGTTCCGCAAATACTTTACAAGAATGTCGATAACATTGACAGAAATTACAGATTCTTGTGAAGCTAGAATTACCAAAATAATAGATTAGGATTGGTTATAATGACCATTAAGGGTAAACTCCGGTAGTTATTCTAGAAGTACATCCAGAACACAATAATATGATACGAGTATAACGATTAAAAATTAGAATGTTTGTAACATTCTAGGTTTTTCCGCTCTGTACTGTACAGACTGTACTGTACTGTACTGTGTCTCTGTTCGTTTGTATTATGTATGGTATTATGTCAGGTCAAATAACAGTTCGCTATCAGATATTCACAGATGACCGTTTCAAAAGACATGGTTTGAGTTCTTTAAAAAATAACGGTAACTCTCCTGTTTTGTAGATACGTTAACAAACATATAAAACATATACTGCACAAACCACACCCAAAACCAGTACAACAATTTATGGATTACACAAGGGATTTGTGTTGTTTGTAGAATTTGTGTGTGGTTGCCCAGCCACTGCGCTAACGGCCGGGTTTGCGTGTGCAAGCCCAATTTTGTACCATCGCCCCGACCCGGAGTAGGAAAAGCAATAGGATAATGTTAAGCAATTTAGAGTCGAGGGCTTCCTTTCGCCTCACACAGGGCGCGATAAGACATTTGAAGGTTTTTCAAAAAAGTCACTGCACTAACCGTGGCGAGTCGCGCCAACTTGCTCAAAGATAAGAAGCTAGAAAGCTAGGAATGCCTCCTTCAATGCTCAGCTTCAACTACATGTATTTGTAGTCATTTATTCCCTTTCCAAACAAATGTTTCGCAACTACAACTTCAGTGTAAGTTTACGAGTCGGCAATGTTTGCATTCACATCCATTGATGTGGTATTATTGTTGGTTTTTTTATAAACTCTTCAAGATTTACGATCTACCTGTAATATACTCCAGAGTAGTGTTTTATTATCTACATTTTTACACCTCCTCGTAAAATTATTGATGGCGTATTTTGAAACTAAGACCTATGTACTTAATTGTTTTTCAGTCTCGCGTTACGCATTATTGTTGATATGGACTAATTTTATGTGAGAAGTAATATTGCACACTTTAGCAGTCTCTTCATTATCGCTCAATCGATAATATTTTACTTTTATTAACTTTTAGAAATTAACTATTGTTTTGTAGACAAACGATTATTTATGTCAATTGGCACATTATACGTCGTTCTGCTCATAATTCTGAATACCACGCGGCAATAAGAAAATCGTTTGACTGCCAAGAGCCTTAGTAACTTCATAAAACATGATCTAATACTCCTTAACGTTATTGTTAATGCACACCATAAAAATGTAAATGCCATTCGCTCATTTTGGCAACATTTTATTTATGAAATTATCCGTCTCAATGTCATCAGAACTATTAATTGTGAGAAATCAACCGTAGTTGACGATACATTACATTTTAACACTTACAGTCGTGTGTCGACACGGTATCAGTGACTGCCAAACCGATCTTCACAATTCACGAAGTATTTTTAGACGATATTCTATTTATACACGTCCGATTTAAGATCGCATCAATTATGGTAAGAAAGCTGTTACAAGTAAACAAGTGAGTCAACAAGATTATGACGTTGTGAGAGCGTTTGTTCCGTGTACTTCTGTGCCAATATTTTAATCCATTCTTGCAATGTTTTTGTAGATATGGGTCTCTAATGCTCTATGCTGTCGGTTTTGCCGGTGTAAGTACATTAAAAAAATAAGCTATAGGAGATAAGTTGCTGTCGGATGGCCCCCTACCTTGTACTTAAAGTATTTACTTATACAAAACAATAGTTTTGTTCTAGTTGTGCATTCCTTTTGAGCAGTTAAAGGCTTCATTCATTCCATCTTCTGCATTTAAGGAACTAAGGGTAAAGGTAACTATACTTTTGAGCAGTAAAAGGCTTAATTCATTCCATCTTCTGCATTTAAGGAACTAAGGGTAACGGCAACTATACTTTTTCTCCTGATCCAATAATATCTTCTGATTTATGAATTTGTGGGATCCAAGATAGTTTTTCTTTTCCTTTGGACGCGCTGAACTTTTGTATTTTCATGTTTGTGTCTTCTGTAGATCCTTTCTTAGATCATGGATAGCGTTTTTGTAATATTGAGTACTATCACAACAAAAAGAAAAAAAACAAGTTTAAACAATCACATCAAATGTCGTATAAAAAGCAAGTAGAAGAAATACGTCAAACGAAAAAACATTTTCGGTTTTGGGTTACTTCCCATAGATGTCGTGGTAGACTGAAGCTTAATGCAATCATTCACTGTTTGTGTTTTAAGGAGAGAGTGAAACTTTACTTAGTTTCATGACTTTTTACTAGATGGAGTTAGCAACGTCGGGATATAAATAGTGCGCAAGAGATTACTTTGAATAGCGCCATCTAGCGAGCCGTATACGAAACAACTTAAAGTCTGGATCAGACAAATGAGTCAGGCATAAAACCGGTTATGAGTCTGGCAATAGTCCAAGCCATCTTGTGTAGATGGCGCTGACGATTTTACAGGCAGAGTTTTCAATAGAAAGCTCGTAAAGATATTTTTTATAGCTATGTACATTTACATCTATTGATAATGAGGATACTTGATCATTTTATTCGCCTTATTGTTAAATTTAGGTTTTCATTACTTGCAATTAGTATAAACATCAACAGTGAATCAGTGAGGTCGGGCAGAGCTCTGCCAATCTAAACAATTGCTACCCCCAGCTGACTAGGCGGCTGCGTCATTCTGCGACGGGTCGGTCAGCAACCCCGCTGACAAACACGAACGGGGCAATGCCACCTTTTTAGGGAATCTCCGCTGGGAATAATCCTAGTATTTTTATAAAGAAAATTTCGATTTCGGCAGATGACGTCCGTGACGAATTCTGGTTCGTAAAGCCGATCTTATTCAGACATGAATAATTTCAAAGTTATATTACATGCTGTTTGCTTGTTTAAAAAAGTAAAACTAATTTAATATGACAAAGAATTTCCATGTGACTCTGTAAAATCCGCGCATACTCTGTAAAACCATGCAACCTCTCCATCTATACTTTAATGTAATTTTTTCATAACACATGAACCAGTAAGATGGCGCCGTAATGAGAAAACTGATGAAATTGTCATCCTACTGTAGCAGTGAAATGCCCTTGCGCACCTATCCACCAACTACTGGCAAAATGATGTTAAACGTCAAAAACTTGACAGTTACAACTAAGAACAATAATGATTGATATATCTCCATACCTACCTACCCACATACAGACAGACTACGCTAATATTTTCATATATTTCACTGGATGAAGATAGTTCCTGCCACTCCCAAGGGTTCTATTTTGAAGTGCAGTCTATTTCTGTGTTACATTGTTGTGGCTGCTCGCACAGTTGACAGATGTCCACGTAATTAGCTGTCCGTACAACATTTTATGTAATTGTTAGTATTTTAATGTAAGAGAAGAATATGGAAGCGTGCTGTGTACTTTACATACACAATGAGCAAGAACTAATCGGTGACAAAAAACTATGACCATAATATCCTCAAAATTACCCAAAACTTATTGTAAAATCGTCAATTTCTCAGACTCTGTTATCACATTCACAAACCACAATTTCCACTACACATATACACAGATACAAACGTATCTGCTGCATTAGTTTGTACTACCAATATTGAACTCAATTATAACATGCAATATCGATGTTTACCATCATAAACCGCAACCAGTGTTCACCAGAAACATGACTAAGTGTCTGGCAGACCAGACCAGACATGGATGCGCCATACTTATCACGCATCGTATCCGAACAGATACAGTACATTACCAAAAGCCATTTCTTTTAACATATAATCGCACTTACAAGCCCTATTTCTTGTGATTTGTGGCATAACTTTCATAGTGTCATAGTGCGTTAATTTTGTTAATCAGATTGTGGCCAACGCAATGACATAAACCTACTTATGCAGTTCTTAAGTCGAATAATAAGTGCAACTCGATCTAACCAGATCTTTCAATAATTACATATTTAACAGTTAATAAGTTCTATAAGATAGAAATCAGGCATCTGCTTAAACTTGATTTTATAAAAAAAACACTATCACTATTTTTAAAACAGAACTGTTGCTAATCAAAATAGTTATTCTAATTTTACTTATGTAAAATGTCTACGAATCGTTGTATACATTGTCACCAAAATAATAATTTAGAAATAAAAAATACTTTTGATTGTCAGAGATTATATGTTGACCAAACGTATTCATGAAATCCATTAAAATAAAGAGGAACACAATCACTTATTTGGATACCAACGCACGCACTGGCGCTTCGTATTTCAGATTAGACTAATAAAAGTTCTTCCACTTTATTTTGGTATAACACCGCATTCCGATCGGCCGCGTTTCTATTATAATTCGTTTCTTATTAAACGTTTGCCCTTGACCGTCAATTTATGAACACAATTTATGGTCACTATTTACGCATCTTTTCGAAATTAGAAAGCGGACTTTACTACTTATTAACATAATGCGTGGGTAATACGGGATACAGTAAATAGTAGACTACTAAATAAACTGAAGAATTGATCTATATCACTTCTCAAGTTATCTGCAACAGATTATATAATCAGTCAAATCGCCATTGAAAATGAATATATTTACCTATATATTGGATGTACAAGCAATACATTTGGAAAATGAAAAATCGTTGACCGCCCGGGACAAACATACAATTTTTTTTTTTTATTTATTTCTTGCACAAAACACATTACAATCAAATATTATTAGCTTAAAAACTAAAGGTTTTGATCTAGATAGTAACGTAACACTATGTGCATACTGCAAAATTACAAGTTTTAAATATTAAAAAAGCTCAAAAAGGGACAAAAAGAAATAAGAAGTAGAAACTAGAAAACATAAAGTGACGTGTGTCAACACTGTCGCCTCTCAACAAAAATATGGGATGATATGTTAAGATCCCTCAGGCACAGTTTCCCGGGCCTGAAGAATCCACACCAGATCGACAATGGAGAATGCCTTTTATATCTGACAATTCAGGGATTCAAGAAGTTTTTGTCAATACTTTTTATATATTTGTTTAGGCATAACTTCGTGCACACGAAGAACTGCATCTGGTGGACTTAATGCATTGAGCATTATTTTCCAGTCTACTTTTGGGTAGGTGATGCAGAGACAATCCAGTAGTATATTATTATGTGAGAAGAAAGCTAGTTTTGTGTTCCTATGAAACATGCGTAAAATACACAGCACTATACGTATATATACACATAAATTTAAAAATTCTCCAACAACAACGAACAATATTACTGTTAACAGTGGTTAATAGTAATGTTGTTCTAACAACCATCCATCAAAATTATCCCACAAATCGGTAACCAATAGTCAGGGTAAACAAACGTCGCCGCCATCAGCCTAGTCTCATTACACTGGTGTGGACAGTATTTGGCAGTGTCCGCGAGGGGTTCCCAGAACTCCAGAGCTGGACCACGGCCCTGAACCAGTTACCGAACGAGAGGCGACATCTTACGTCACACACAACTAACTAACAGCTGAACGACAATTTGTTTGTTTTGAGAAAATAAAAAACTCAGTTCAAGTGGTAAAAATAAGCGTTGTTTAGTTGAGAACTGAAGAAATGTTGTTTACAGTTACAGGCTTATGGCTATAATTAGAATTGTTATTATATTTACTAGAAAGTTTCTGCTAACATTCTAGGCTGAGCACTGACTTAAGGAACAGAATTTTATAATTACACTCGTGCTACGAAACATACCACTTCATATCAATCATATCAATGTCTGAATTCATCAGTAAACAACATATTGACCTTAACCATTTTTACATCGGGTTGACTACTGATACCGACATCAATAGAAAAGCAGGCCTATAAAACGAAGTCTGCAAATAGTAGGTAGCATTTGATACTTAATGTACCTATAAATCGTTGTTACCTGAATAAATGTCTTTTCTTTCTTTCTTTCTTTCTTTCTGTAACTTACTTCATAACATACCAGCTACTCCCGCGCAGCAGCTGCCCGGTGCTTGTTAATTGCGGAGTGATAATTCGGCCTATAGCCTTCTTCGACGAATTAAATCCAACTTAAAAATAATAGTTCAAAACCAACCGTTAGTTCCGGTCATTAAAGCAAGCAAATAAACAACCAACCTCTTCAGCTTAATAAAGTAAAGTATAGGTCGTTGAAATAAAAAAATGATGCATCTGTCTGAACCTTAAAAAAACAGATGCGAAGTAATAAATATCGCCAACCGATAGAGTAGATAGTGAAGTCGACGAAGCAACCATGAACCCAGCAATATAATTAGGTAAACCCATGTTTCGCAAGAGTGTGGCCGTGCCAACCAGTGTAGGGATCCACATTAATCAGAGAGTTAATAGTCGCGTCGAAACAGCCGTACAAATGAGATTGTTAACAGTTAAAATTCATACTCAACACGCCGAACAATAAATTGTTTATTAAAATGGCTATTGCACTGCTTTTAATAAAATCTTACGTACCTATCATAATTTCACTTAGAAGTGTCAATATACAAAGTCTGGGAAAAAAATCTACTTACTTAATCAGCTTAAACTGTGTGAGAGCCACAATTTAGTTCAACTAGAGCGATATCACGGCCTCACGTAACACCGGCATGAGATGACGCACACGTTGTGTTTCACCGTGTGAGTGAGGTAACCTATAACCCTTTAAACCCCCTTCCTGTACCCAAACTCCAAATTCCTGACACCTCCCAAAATAGCCGACAACGCACTTAGAGGTCAACTGGTGTGTTGGGCATCCTTGAGTGACAATTGCCTTACTATTAGGTGATTCTAGTTCTATCCTCCAAAAACCTGTTTATCACGTATTCTTTTTATAATAACTATCGTGAGATATACTAAATTATTTAAAAATCGCGGGTTACTCACGTGTACAATAGTGAGAAAAGCTCTACTGGTTTCGAACTACCGAGGGGTTCTTCCTCATGATCAGCGTGCGCGGACGAAACTGTGGTTCGAAACTAGTCGAACTTTTCTCAATATGTACACGTGAGTAACCCACGATTTTTAATTAATTTATCACCTATTCCTTTATTTCGAACGTTTCGTTTATTTGTGCCTCTTCGCAATTTATAAGGTTATCCATGCATTTTGAAAGTGTTTAACAGAAACGATGACTACCGATTTACATGGAAATAATATCATTCATTTACGTTTTCACCAAAAACGCAAACGAAAAGAATAATCGCGACCATATATCAGTGTCGCTTTAATAAACCTCTGCTAATATGAAAGCAAACTATATATCAATCCAATCCCGAGGTAACTCGGACAATGTACTTTGTCTTATGAAAATATCAATTGACCTGAAAACGAAGGACTCAAGTTCATGAGGAATGTTTTGCGCAATAAATAAACGCGCTGTAAACAGTTTGGGGTAACTGCGGAGTGATATTCCAACCAGGATACTGGTTTCGTCAAGTGATTCTTCAAACAAAAATAAATAAAATTCACAACAAATACTCATGAATATTTACTTCATTTTCATGCTCAGTTTAGGTAGGCACATCATGATTGTTTGTTTTAATTGCAGAGGTAGCTAATGAGAGCTTCCCAAGCTAAACTAAGAGGAAGCTCCATAATTGGGTAGTTTCCTAGGTCAAAAATAAATTAATTCGACGTTTCAATACAACAAAATATTGAAAAATAACTATAGTTTCATTAATCAATCGATCGATACACTAAATTTCAGATATTTTTAGCTAATTTTTTAGACATAAGTAAACTATTTGACGAAAAAATACTATGACGTCATAGCTCAGTATTTCATACAAATTTCATAGAAAAGTGTAGTTTTTGACATTTGGATAAAAGTATTAAATTTGACTTGATGGAAACTACCGTATTTTTAAGTTGCAGTAAAGTCGTAGTATGAATATGACAATACTAAATAGGTATCGTAGTGAATTTATTTAAATTAACACCATATTTCATAATCAGATTTTCATGGCGTTCATATGGTCAATTACTTTGATTGTATCATAATGAAAGCATTCTTAACATTTTATGCGTTGAGAAAGCCCGCTGCAATTTTCCAAGTTGCAACTCCTCTTAGTCTGGATTTACAGTAGACAAAACCATGAAAACACCGACATACTGAAGTTCGGCGCGTCCCAGGGATATGATAAGTATCTTGGATTCTGCAACGAAATAAATCATTTGATATTATTTCAGGTGAAGAAAAATCGCAAAGGTATCCTTGGTGGTGGATTCAATGAAAAATACTGTACAATTAATAGGTAGCCCATTTACCAAAACTACAGAAAATTTGCAATAAAACATCTAACACATAGGACCCCCTGCTAGTTTCTAGTAAGTTACAAAACAACTTTTTAATTATTAGTTCAGACGCGTTGCAACTGTAACTACATAAATATCTATAACACGTTAACCTACCCAGCACACACACAACTAAACCCGAAACATCTTCTTCAATCCTAAATCAGGAAATGCCAGCGGTTGTCGGTTGGGGCTCGCTCATAAATTAATTTACCTAACAGCGCTGCACATTAACAACATTTGCACATATTTGTCACCCGGCTCTCCTTGTAACGTCCGTATTTAAATTAATGCACTGTGATCCGAAGGGCCGCGTGAAGTATGGCGGCACTCACAAATTTACGAGCTTGTAATTAGTTTGGAGGCGTCCCAATTCAGTGCTCGCTGTTTATAAATGCATCATGTTTGTTGTTATAAATTATGCTTTGTGTGTTTCATGTGGGCGAATGACTTAAGAGAGGTTTGTTTGAAGTGAACTCTTGCCTCGGTAAGTTACTTGTATGCCCATCCATCTAATTAGCAAGTGCAAGTTCGAAGCAGAGGTGAGGTTTCACCTCATGCTTCGAGAAATAAAAGACAATCATTATCCATCGCCGTACAATTTTTTATCATTATTTTATAAATCTCTTTTTGTAGTTATAGGTCCATGTTCTTATTCTAATTATAAGCGTTTCCTTTTATCTTTCCAATAAGTTATAGCCCGCTCTCCAATGTACAGAGTAACAAGACGATTTCAAAGCGATAATAATTTCTAACATCAGTCAAACTCTTGAACTGGGAGATCGGCCAACTGTTCAAGAATATTGTGTTACTTTTGAACCTGAACTACAGCGACTCCAACGGTTATAAATAATAAAAAATCTTGGCTAAAGTCGATAGTTTTTATTTTTTACTAATCGACATCTTAGGGCCTAGACAAGTGGCAAACGCTCGGAGTCGTTTCTATTCTACTGAAAATGAACGCTTGGGCGTTAGCGTTTTTCGATTGGTAGCCAAGTGTACAACCACTTGTCGAACGCTCATTCTATTCGTATGTTACAAAAAACATCAATTGTTCTTTATGATTTGTCGTACGCTAATGTCAGTTTGACAATGGGTCGCCGCAAAACTAGAAGATTTTTAAGTTGTGAAGTGATGAATTCATGAATTTTTTATGTGAAATTATACATGGAATAGCGATTTTAAGACGGTGAGTACTGTAAATAAGTATGATGTGATAATCTAAATTAAATTATTTTAGTTATGTATTATATATCGGCGTCATGTTAGTGTATTTAATATTGTGTTGAAATGGTTACTAGGAATACTATTATTTTTACATGGAACCGTGGTTTCGAGCTAGTCTAGAGCAATTCTTATTATTTTAGATTTTATGGAAAGTTCATTCGTAAAATCGTATCAATATTTCAATATCTTCACTCAGATTAAACTTAATATCAACAATGTCGTGGTCAATCTGCACAATCAACAAAGGAATATACCACTTAGGCAGTTTGTTTATTTTATGAGCGCGGCGATATCTCGAAACCCTAGATGACTGTTCAAAGGTCAGTTAAAGGGATATCAGCTGTGGCAGGATTTATCGAGTATGTTAAATTCTTATGGTGGTAGACGAATTTCGAAAATCAGCAGATAACTAGAAAATGGCATGAATTAAAAATAATATCAGAGTCCTTAGCGATTTCGATAATGACGACCTCAGTAAATTAAATATTTATATATATTTATTTTGTATGAATCTAAAATCTTTGGATAGTATAATTTGACACAATGCTTTTTATTAATTGTGATTTTTAGGTGTAGGCAGACTGGAAGACAAAAAATAAAACCAAATATTTTTAAATAAGGCAAAATTCTGGTGGTGGTGGGCCTAGCAGCTAGGTCTCTTTAACTGCATTAGAAGAGAGACTGGTTGCAGTTTTTGGAGTGTCTGCTGTGGCAGGCCAAGCTGGCATCTGCTGGATTCAATGTAAGTATTTTATAAACTGGGACCACACTGTATCGTTTGTATCTAATATTGTAAAACTTGTCAGGATCAGATCATCAATTTAAATAGATATTTATTATGTATTAATTGAACTAGTTCCATATGATGAAAAATGGTAGTCATATAGTAAACATAAAGCAAAATTCTAAGATATAAATAATAACAAATGATTTTATTTCAGACCATCAAATGACTTGCACTTGGTCCAGGCAGGAGGCAGCACTAGTGAAATACCATCAGCAGAAAGAGAGAGAAAGTCTAGTAAGTTGATTGTAATAATTTTATTTGTTTCTAACCATATCAATATTCCATAAATATTATGAAGGCAATTCTGTAAAAGTCAAAAGTCAAAATCATTTATTTCAATTAGACCCATACAGGCACTTTTGAACGTCAACGTCAACGTGTATTTAGGCAACTCAAAGATTAATTTCATTGAATATAATAAAGTAATGATAATAAAATATTATTTTCAGCTGAATCCATAGGCAGTTAGCCGACCACGTACAACTTTGGCACCGGCTCGAGAGACAGCTACGCCACCATCCTAGCACGCCTTTCTCCTTCCTTCTTCGCCGCGATTTTGTCCGGCAAGAAGCCTAGACTGCAGGCGTCAGCCGCTCCGCGTTCGGCAGCTACAACACCAAATCGTCGTTCTTAATTGTGGGCGCGTAGGAACAGGACGATTAAAACTATTCGAAAGAACGACAAATGAATTTGTAAAGGTCAAGCTCCCCCGACGTGAATTCGAGGAGACGCGTGACAGGTTCCTTCATAAACGAGAGTTGCAGGTGATAGTTTTTAGTTTATATTGCATTTCTAGCAAGCATAATTTTTTTTAATGTTTTGATAAAATAATTGTATGTGGTAAATATATACAGGAACATATAGTGAAATTAAAAAACCTTTGAAGGCTTTGCATGCAATTTTATTGGTAATTAGATAGGCTATTGTACATTATCTTTTTGATTTTGAAATTTACTTTCTTTCTAGACGTATATAAAATGAATCCTGGCACAACCTTAACGACATGATGACGAAACGAAATGTGACTGTCATACCAAAGATGATGTGAATGCTAATTTTAAGTTTGAAAACAAAGTAATTATGTTCAGAAAAAGTAACCAAAAATAAAAAAGTTATATTGATACAGATTTTTTTTTATTTCACCCTTAATGATAAAAGAAATGTTGGAACCTTAGTTATTACAAACATGGAGTTTAAATCAAGATAATTTAAGAGTACAATGTAGTTGTCTTAAGCTATGTACCAAAGGATTATAACAAACTAAGTATATAGTTCCCGCATGAATGAATCGCTTCCACTTCACTGGATGACCATTTTAAAAAGAGTCGTGTGTGGCCCCACCGTATTTTCAATTCATATTTAATATTTTTAAATTGTGGTCACAAACCTGAAAGAATATGTTGATTAACTTTTGTATAATAGTTATAAGCTCCCTATTAGCCGAAGACTTCCTTTAAATAGAATGAAATGTATAGATGATAAATGTATATAGATATGTAATAGAATAATATGAAAAATAAAAAATACTATTTGTAGATTAAATGAGTGATAGCCTTTTCTATTAAAAAAGGGGCTCACCTTTACTTGGTTTCATTATAGCTATGTAAGTGCAGTCAATACATCATACGACAACTGGTAAATTAAATCTTCTTCGGAATCTAAAACCAACCATAGTTCAAGTCAGGTACATCAAACATTAAAATACTGCTGATTTATTTTTTAATACATACTAATATGATAACAATATATTTGTACTGATTATTACTTACTCTTGTCTTATTCTTGAAAAATCTTGATTCGTTAAGGGATATTACATATTATATTTTAATAAAATTATGGAATCTCTATGTATAATATGTCGCAGTAAGATAGATGTAGCCGTAATATAGTTATATCCCTAGGGATATAGTTATAAAACGGTCCAAGTTTAGTGATATACTTATATTACTAGATCAAGTTTAGTGAAATAGCTTTCGGAGTGTGCGCTTCCCCCGCGGCCTTTCGTGTGGTTGCGCAGCGAGGGGCCATAGAGGCTGATGTTTAGGGCAGAGCCGGGGAGGCTGAAGTTTCCGGGCGGGTCGGTGCAACCGGAGGACAGGTAGCTCACTCGTTCGAACCTCAGCGGTGATCAGTATCTCAGCAGGGAGTTCATTCGGTATCTACTCCGAGGCGAAAGGGACGGCCTCCGTTAAATTCTCCGGCGCAGGTTATTCCGGGGATTCCAGAATCAGGTCTAGAACAAATTTCTCAAGCTGAGGTTCAACTTTAGCTTGGAGTGTTGAACTATTGTTCAGCCTTTTAACAAGGCGAAGAAGCAGGGCCTAAAGGGCCATGATGAAGAGGGCCTGCGTTCCTACAACACAACAATAACTTTGCTTGAGATGCCACGGATGCGTGCCTCCTCCAGCAGGCAGGTGCCAAAATATTCCCTCCTGGGGTATCTTCCTAGCACCTATCACCAAGAAGAAGAAACCCGAACAAAATTGGTGGTTAGGTGCCTTTTGGCCTGAGGGTTCCTATAATTCTAACCCTCCAAAGAGGTGAATTTGGAGGTGTGTGTGCCTCCCTGCCTACCGGGTGTAGGCAGGGAGGTGAGTATCTATTGGTGTTCCCTAAGCTAGTAATTCCGCTACCAATCTTAATGTGCAACGGGTTCCTATGCGCCGGGTCGCGGTTAGGCGGCCGGCGAAGCTGTGGAGAGAACGGGTTAAGTGCTAAGTACAACTAGGGGAGCCAACAAGGTTATGGTCCCAGCACTCTTCCGATACTTGGCAATGTCCTGAAGGGCAAGGCCGACGTTCCCTTGGCGCACGCCACCTGCATTAATTTCTTCATCTTAATTCATAGTTGGCGCAAGTAATTAGCAATTACAAAACAAATACAAATGCTAAGCAAGCGTAGCGATTAAATGCACATGCACGAAAAGTAGACGTGAACACCGAACAACTATTATAAAGCTATTTCACTAAAATTAATCTAGTAATATAAGTATATCACTAAACTTGGTCCGTTTTATAACTATATCCCTAGTGAGATAGTAATGAATCGCTTTCGTATAACTATGTTCCGGTATATAATTATATCCCTAGGGATATAACTATATTACGGCTACATCTATCTTACGCGACATATACACCGGTATTTCACTAATTTGCATTAAAAACTGACGAAATTTATTTCTTCAATGACGCCCAAGCCGTACGCTTGGGCACCGCCCACAATAATATAAGTGCGTGCATTTGTACAAATTTTATTAATTTAAACGAAATTGTTCACAAAAACAACTACCGGTATCTAACAGCTGTTTAAATAATCGCCATCTTGGGTAGTGTATCGTAGCGTTTTCTACAGGGTCCTAGCGTTCGCTTCGTAAGCGTACATTAGAAACGTTTACAGTCGAATTCGCTTGTCAAATGTGCCACTTGGCTACGCATTTGTATGGAGAATATCGTATTACATTGTCGTTTCGTTTAATGGAATAGAATCGTGATACACTTGGCTACCAATTACACGTTCGAAACGCTAGATCAAATTTCATGACGTCAATTCATTCATAAACCATTCTATTCTACTGGCGTTTGTGCCACTTGTCTAGGCCCTCTTGACAGTGCTCTCAGCGTGGCCATTCTCATTTACCGCTGCTTTGTTTGTTCTGAAACGCCGGTTGAACTAACTATGTAGTATGTGGGTTGCACTTCGTGTGCAACGACCTTTGTAGTAGAAGTTGTTTTACATTAAAAATTCTTAGTGTAACGTACGTAAGGTAGAGTATGTATATTTTTATTATCAGAAACTTGTTTGCTACTTTGCTACGAGGTGGGTTTCCACAATTGATAAATTTATGAACGGGATCTTATCTATTTACAGCCAAAAAGTCGAAAGATAACACTTTTTCTATGAGGGAATATCATCCAATGACTTCTCTTAGCCAGGGTGAGGCAAGAGGAAGTGTCACTCTTACAGACTGTAAACCTCCACTTTCATTATCCTGCTTACGGCCGAGGCCCCGGTACTTTAAGAGTGAAGAATCTAAATAAAAATTTAAAATGGGAATTGGGTAGTTTCTTAGATCAAAAATAAATTAAATCGAAGTTTCAATACAATAAAATATTGAAAAATAACTAAACTTTTATTCATCCATCGATACACTAAGTCTTAGATATTTTATAGCTAACTATTAAGAAATAAGTAAGCTATTTGACGCAAAAATACTATGACGTCATAACTCAGTTTTTCATACAAATTTCATAGAAACGTATCGTTTTTGACATTTGAATAAAAGTATTGAACTGGACTAGTTCGAAACTACTGTATTCCAGCCATTTTGAACGTAAACTATCGACAAGTGTAAGTACCTACATAAATAATAATCTATCACAGAATTTATTATCTACCAGGTATATTTATTTTTTGAACAATAATATCTCTCAAAAAATTTATGAACTTTTTACTTACCTTATAATGAAACAGGTTAAATATTCGGAATATTTTCGATTGCACAATAATATTATACTTAGTCATTTAGTGGAGACCTGATTTCCTCCACGTGACAAACATTACCCTCCTTTCTGCTTCGTGGGAGTCGGTTGAAAAAAGAGCCTGGAGCTGATTGAACCTGTCATATGTATTCATTACCTCCTGAAATATTGTCATGAAAAGATATTTATCTGTAAGCAAAGTACAATAAAATTTAAAATGTTGATATCTTCAGTAAAAACAGTCTGGTTTTATAACTTTATTATTTGAATACTATTTTCAAATATCTGTAGGTACAGAAAGGCAAAAGTGTTTCTTATGAAACTAAACTCTTTCAGTAGCTTTTCCTGCAATATTATGTAAATGTAAATTTACCTATGTGTTATTCCAGGCTATATCTATGCCAAAATTTAATTCAATTATTACAGAGGTCTCCTTAATTCCTATAAACTTTCCCATTTTAGAAAAAACTCTCATAGATCTCATAGACGAGCCTTCTGGCATTATCTTCAAATGGTTTCTTTTTATCTTTATAAAATATTAATGTTATAGGAATAAATGAAAAAGATCCTACTATTAGGTATGTTTGTAAAGCACAAAGTCCTTTGAACAAATTAAGAAAACACCTACTGTCGATAATAACTTTCACCAAGGATATTACTCGTATTGTGAACTTAAATCTGTTAGCAGAAAGTGCTGTTTATAAGTAGGTATACATGCTCAGTGCATACAGAGACACAACAGAGGTTGGTTCCAGTTTCAACAACATGGTATTTTGGAAAACAAAGCGGATGTCACCGCGCTGAAATATTTAATGGCTTCACGAAGAAAAGGCGTTCTGTGTTTAATCGTACAGTTTAAGAGATAGTTAGTTGTCCTGCGATAGTTGGCGACTTAATACAGCAATGACAGTTTTGTGTTTATGTGTATAATTGAAATTCGGTTAAAATGCTCTCAAAGAACATAACTCCAATAAAATATGATC